TAACCCCCTTGGTTTACATAATAAATATTGTTGTATTTAATTTTTGAGTGAATATGTATTCAGTAATGTTATTCGTTATTATATTTATTATTTATGTTAATAGATATTCTGTAAATTAATAAAGATTTAACTCTTTATGAATTTACCTCTTCCATGAAAATAGTAATTGAGTTGAAAAGCAAATTATCTCTTGGGTGTATCCAAGAGATGATTATCCTGTTTATCTCTCTTGTGTGAATATTTATTCTGTTTATCTCTCTTATGTGTATCTTCTGAAATAAAAGATATTCAACACAAGTACATTTAGCATGCTTTGAATATCCTGACACTTTCACCCAAATAATACACCCCAGGGGCGCTTCTTGCCAAGCGGGAATGTGGATCCCACGGGAGACGCCGACCACGTGAAATCCACAAGATCGGCTCTGCAAAAGTTTGGTAAGCTCCGGTAAGCTCGATTTCTGTCGTCGGTTCCACGAGGTTCCACGACCCAATTTTTTTCCAACGAGGGTTCGACGTGGGCTTGTTGCCCATGTTGATTCCACCAGCGGTGGGCCGCTATGCTACACTACGTTTTTGGCCCAAAAAGCGTAGCGTAGCGGCGCTTTTTTTCATCCAAAAACCGAAGTGTTAGCGGTTTTTTAGCGGGTTTTTGCTATGCTACGCTGCGCTACAGCGCTTTTAGCAGAAAAAGCGGCCAAAAACCGCTAGAAAGCGCTGTAGCGCAGCGTAGTGGGCCCTTTTTTGGGGCCCACACGCGTAGTGTTAGCGGTGTCATGGCAGAATCCCGCTACGCTACGCTAAGCGCTAACAGCAATTTTGCTGTGTTACGCTACACTAACTGCTACGGTTAGTGTAGCGGCCCACCGTTGATTCCACGACGGCCGAACTCTATTCCACCTACAACCAGGACCCACCAATATGGGTCCTGACTGTCCAAAAACTTGAGAAAAATGAATTTTGGAAAAAAAATCTAAAAAAAATTCGACATTTTTTTTGTTTGAAAGTAAAGGAAACAATCATTTTGGGTCAATCTAATCTTGGAAGGAGTGCTAAACAATCAAGTTCATGCGGACCAATGGTTAAGCATCCTGCTCCTGGATGCGCAACCTTGGTCTGCTCTTGGGGTTCGATTCCCTGTCTTCTCTTTTGGCGGCGTTGCCGATTCTTTAACGGCGGCCCTGCAAGCTTCCTCGTGAGCTCCACGAGACAGCCTTGCAATGCAGCCCTGGACCAATCTGTGGAGCCCACGGAATACTGTGAGATGCAGCCGTGGACCAATCTGTGGAGCCCACGGAATACTGTGAACTGGCGGGTCCTGGTCCGACCTCCCGCAGTGGCCGCTTGTGGGCTCCCCGTGGAAAACTGGTGTCCGTCCATGTGGGTGTGCACCCTAGGTGTAGTGTAACAATAAGGGGACTGCACCGGTCCCAACATCAGTTTGACCCCTGCCCTGTAATATTTAAGGGGATGACTCTTTCCCTGAGATTCATCCCCCAGACAATTATTACAATACCAACCCACGAACCTTACTAAAACATATAACTTAGTGATTGGGGTTTTTAGTAGTATATCATCTAGTTATTATTGTACATTTCTCTTTATCATCTTACTAGTCCTTATAAGTTACATCTTTAACTTGTAAGACTAGTACAACTCTATTCCTCTTATATTATTAAAGCTATGGCACTGTGAATCTCATTCCACAGTTGTCCCTTATTTTATAAGGAGCTAGCCCCTCCACTTTACAAGTGTTGAGGAGAGGCTTATTTCCACTGGCCACTCTTTTGGCTATAGTGTGACCCAATACCCCATCAACTCCTGGTCACATAAGATACCAGAGCGGACAATAAACCAGTTGAGGCTGGGAGGAATTCCTCCCAGTCTCAAGGCCAAAGGCCCTCTCAGACTCAAGACCTGTATGGTCTTGAGGTTGGAGGGGATGCCTTCTGACGAGCTGGTTTCCATACCAGCTTGTTGGGAGAGGTTCTTCCTGGCAAGCTGGCATTTAAACCAGCTTATTGGAAGTTGAGGCTGGGAGGAATTCCTCCCAGTCTCAAGGCCAAAGGCCCTCTCAGACTCAAGACCTGTATGGTCTTGAGGTTGGAGGGGATGCCTTCTGACAAGCTGGTTTCCATACCAGCTTGTTGGGAGAGGTTCTTCCTGGCAAGCTGGCATTTAAACCAGATTATTGGAAGGAATCCCTTCTTAAAAGCTGGTATATATGCCAGCTTGTTGGAAGGAATCCTCTCTGACAAGCTAGTATATAGGCCAGCTTGGCGGAAGGGATTCCTTCCAAGTTCCAGCAAGCTGGGGAACCCCTCCCGGCCACAAGACTGCACTGTGTTGGGGCCAGGAGGGATTCCTCCTAACTTTTTTTCTGCCCCTCTCTGAGGGAAGTGCACACACACTCCCCTGAGAGAGGGGAGTGTGGGAGGGCATGCACAAGGGGGAGTGTGATTGTCACTCCCCCCTGTTTTTCCTCAGATTTCCTCAAATTTTGTTTTGTCAAAAAGTATTTTTTGTCTTGATAAACAATAATCTGAAATAGTATTTGACCCTTGTTATCTCCTTCCCTCCTTTTTTCCTCCTTATAGGCCTTCAAAAACCTACAATCCCCTGAAGGAGATGGCTTACAAAAATCCTGAGTACACCATTTGACATGCAAGCATTGGTTTACTCTACTAAAGTTTTTTCACATAATTTTCCTCCCTACCATTCCCAAGGCATCATTGATTGATTCTGATGAATTTTACCCTTCTGAAATTCCACAAGGAGGGGAAATTTGAGAAATGCTCTCATAGAATGAAGGAAAACAAATTCTGGGTCAAGGACGTGAGAAACAGATCCAGTCTCAGAGTTGTAAGAAGCCACCTGAAATTCTGGGAGAATCAGCTATTCTGAAGAGAACCAAAGGCTGGAATCCTAAGCTGGCTTGAGAACCAATGCTGGCTTTCAAGCCGACTTGAGAACCAATGCTGGTTTTCAAGCCGACTTGAGAACCAACTGGTTTTCAAGATGGCTTGAGAACTACTCCAGTTTTCAAGTCAACTTGAGAATCAATGCTGGTTTTTGAGTCGGCCTCAGAACTGCACTGGTTTTCAAGCCACCTTGAAAAGCAGTTGGTTTAAGGTTTTTTGGGTCCAGACCTTAGATTGGTTTGGGAGTCGTCTTCAAAACCCATTTGGTTCGGAAGACAACTCAAAAACACCAATGGTGATCGAGAACCACTCAAGAGCCATTGGGTGCACCCGTGGTGTAGACTTCATTGGTTGGTTCTCTGTCAGTTCTCCTCAGTTTTATCTCGCTATAAGCGTGGGGTTATTTGGTCATTTTGACCGTCTTCAGAGCAAACAAGAAGAGCTAAAAATAAAAATAAAAATATCGAAGCAAAGGCTGGCTTCTGGCGCTTCTCTGAACTGAACAATGTCACTACTGCCAACTGGCATTGTATATGTTGTGCAGCAGCATCCAGAAGAGTGAAAAGCCGATCTTCTTTGGTGTTCCTCCGCCAAAAATGTCGTTTTGGGTGGAAGTCCTTCCTGTGGACGAAGTTCGCTCCGCGAGCTCGAGGGATTAGCGAAGTTGGGTCTATACGGCTTAGCCTTGAACCTGTTGATTTTTCGTCTTACTTGGCCAAGACGCCTAAGGTGTCTCGTCTTACTTGGCTAAGACGCACAACGACTAAAACTTCTCTCGTATCCGATATCAATCGATGTCTATCCATCTGTTATGTATTCTCGGTCAGGGTTATTCTGAGTCGAGGGCTGACACGCGTTGTCATAAGCCACTTCACACTCCGCAGTGGTCAATTCCTTCCACAACACTGCAGCCATCAACCAGTTCATGAAGAAGAAACTCGGCATTCAGGACAAAAGGAATTCTTGTCTCAAATAGTATGTGTATTAGGAACATTCATCACGCTTGCAGATGTACATAATCGGGTTAGAAACATGATCATATCTAATTTTCTACAAGCTCCAGTTTCCTGCATGTGTGAATAGACTCTTCCTATCTTTACCTGTCACATGAGATGGCAACTACATCGAAAAATGGACCTTCCGTGCTTTCGATGCCCGGTGTTACTTGGAGCCACGGCCGGCTCTTGATTTCCGATCTCAGAATGCGCAGAGGAGTGGCTTCGGATAGCCTTTTTGGAGATAGGGAGTAAACAGAAAATTCAAAAATATTTTTCCCCCCTGAACATGAAGATTCTCAAATCACGAAGCAACGAGGAATTCGTCCTGAACCGAGTACATTGTATCGTGGATGATCAGTTTTGTCACTAGGGGGCAAGTTTCAGTTGCATAATTATTTCTTAACAAATTATCTTCCTCCTCATCAGGCACCACTTGTTCACCGCTAGAGTATTAAGAGTATTTGGGAGCCGTCGGACCAAGTGCTACATACGCCCACAGCCGTTTTCCCGCCCTTCTTCATCACTTCTCAGGGTCGAATATTTGGACTAGAAAGCCATGAGTCGCATATTCTCAGAGGCTGATCCATTGCTTCGAAGCGGCGCAGATGAAGCTGTGGGGATCAAGTCGACACCTGAAGAAGAGCACGCCTATTCCAGAAGGATGATGGGATGTCCCTGCCCAGCAATTGCTGCTATGATCAATCATTCCTATTTGCAAGTCACCAGCTCGGTGACTAGAACCATCCAAGCGGAACCAGGACACTGACTGTTAAACCTCTCAATATAATTTTAGAAATCCCCGGGACGATGAAGATCCGCTTCCCTTTTTTCAACTCGTGAAGGCTTTGCGTACGTGCTACAATCTCAGTTGGCCGTTTGCATTTCTCTTCGTCCTAGCAGCCAACTTGCGGCTCGGTACCATACGGACTGGAGGGTTCACACTCAAACATCTCAAAAAACATGGATTGATAGAGCATGATGCCAGCATCACCAGGTATAATGCAAGGTAAAGAGAGTTTCGGTTATTTCTTGCCTTAAGAAAGAGAAAAAGAAAAAGAAACCTCGGCTTGGATAACTTTGCATGTCGACTTTTTTTTTTTTTTGAATAAAAAAGCGAAGGCGACTACCTCGACCCACAATGCGAGCTGGTTGACGAATTCATTGATGGTATTCACTATCCTGCTGGGTTGGATGAGGCGAAGAAGATGATTACATTAGGAGATTTTGCAAAGAAGAGAGTCGAGTTGGAAGATAGGCTCACATCTTTTCTTCCGCAACAGCCAAAATTCCGAATTCATCTCGTAAGCCGCTTGCTTCATAAAGAAGTACTAAACATGAACTGATCATTTTTTTATCCTCCTCTGATTTTTAGCTAGGGATTGGGGAAGCTGCCTTAGCTCTCCAAGCATTTGCGGATAAAAGCTCGCCTTTGTATACACGTGAGATCTGTGCAAGAGCTGACTGGCTAAGAATATGGTGCGTGATTCTTTTTTTAATTCACAAATTCCAGCGCCAAGCAATCGCTAAAAACTCCATATCGTCAAATGGTTCATTTGGATAGGTATAAGGAGGAACGGTTTCCCTTGGAATTGGGCTGGGAAAATCGCCGGGATGGGTATAAGATTACGTTGATTGGCTTGATCAGAACCGCAAGAAAGCTTCTGAAAAAAACAAAGGCAATTGAAGATGAGAAGTAATCATTAGCAAAACCATTCAAGCTGAAGCAGCATCTGTTGGTACGAAATTCAATACAAATCGTCAAATCCCTTTCTTGTGTTTATGGGCAAAGAATGTGCGCAGCTCCTGCTGTCGGATAAGATACATAGGATCCGACCAGTCAACTTGAATATGTAATGCGAAAAGATACATTGCTTCGAAGTTTCAAGTTGTTTATTCACATTGGTGGGGAGCTTTGAGCATAAACTCAGCCTGCAAGTTGCAACCTCAGCCGAATAATGATGTCTGTGTGACAAGGAAAGGAGAAGGATGATGAAGATGATTGCTCAATGGCCGTCTTGAAATGTGATGGCCATCTGTAGCGATGTGAAGGTTAAAACTGCGAACGTACAGTCTCCTCCCAGATGTTTATAGCCATCTGTTTTGAGCTCCACAGAGGGAACCCAAAAACTCCAAGTCACAAAAGTTTGTGAAATGGTGCAAAATGGGTTTCAAAGAATGAATATGAAATAATGATAATAAAAAATAAGATTTTAAAATTTGTGAAAAAGATGAAAGAAAATCAACTTTTTTTGAAAACTTTAATTTTTTGTTTGAGTGAAAAGTGAACACACAGAGGGCAAGTTTTTAACATGAAAATAATGATTATAAATGAAAAATATTGATCCAAAAAAAGTTTCAGCATGGTGGGTGGACACCCTGCAGTCAAAATCAGTAGATTGCAGTACCAGAATGCCACATTTCTTGATATATGACCCGCTAGGCACCCTTTTTAAACCACCAAGTAGTCATTTTTTCCCAAACTTTCACTTTTTATCATTCATTCCAGATCTCATACTATCACTTTGGACATTTCATCTTTTCCTGAAAGAAAAATTGAGGCTGTCAGTTTTTGTGATTGTCTCATTTTTAATTTTTACAAATTTTAAAATCTTATTTTTTGTTATTATTTTTTCATATTCATTCTTTGAAACCCATTTTCCACCATTCCACAAACTCTTGTGACTTGAAATGTTTGGGTTCCCAGTGTGGAGCTCAAAACAGATGGCTATAAACATCTGGGAGGAGACTGTACAAGACTCAACTCAGTAAAGCTTCCCAAAACAGTGGAGTGCATCTTCTCTGCCAATAACCTAGTAGACTACAATGTGTACTACTACTTCGCCTCACAAGCCGGTCTACACTTGATGACTCACAGAGGGTCTTCATGATCCTTGTATCTTTTGAAACGTTAAGCTGTGGGAAGGTCCATACACACTGACCCAGTAATCAGCTGAGCTGTAGACCTTTTTGCACCCTCACAGTTTGGATGACGTAAATTGAAGTAGATGTCCAGCAAATTGGAACGTGTTATCTCGAGTCAAATCGAAACTGCATCTCGGAAAAGGTGCCCGAACACACCAATTCTTGACAATTTCAAGTAAAATTTTGGTTTCACAAGGAATGAGTTCATGCGCTATATGTGCAAAATCAGATACAACACATGCATGCTAAGTAGACCCCTTCAATTTTTGTATATAGAAACCAAGCAGCAAGAAGGGGGTATGTAAGGGATACTTTTCAAGGAATTATAAATAACGCGAACAATTAGCCATTATATTATACCAGCATTCACGGATTGTCGAGCCACGATGAGCCTTATCGGTCTTTGAACAAAGCCAAAGAAATAACGTGCACAGATATTACTACAACATATACATATAGCAAGAGAAAGCAGATTCAGCCTCTGTGACTGTGGTCATTGGATGAGAGATGTTCAAGTACGAACAGAAAGGAGGGCACCAATGAATGAACAAAATTTAATACAAGATGAGAAGCGGCTCACGCATATGTTGGTCATGGAGATGAAAAAAAGTTTATTTTGCAAATGGGTAAGTTCTGTTCTGTCAAACTGATGAAAGCTACGATTGTTCAATAACCATCACATAGATACTGGAGTAAAAACACCAGAAGTGATTGTCCGGGGTTTGACCTTTGAAGACCGAATTTTATTGAGCACCGGAGGAACCGAACAGACGAGAGTTGAGGATTGGGATCAGATAAGCCAAAACCCAAGAAACTTGCGAAAGGTTGTTCTTAAACCGAGCACGATGACCGGATTGGTGCGAGAGCTGTATCCAGCATCCAAGCTGTTAAACCTTGGTGATGATATCATTTCTGTTTTCTTTCTCAATCCTAGATATAGGGGAGAAAAAAGCTATGATTGGGAGTTCAGAAAGCAATACACAATCCTCTGGATAGAAGAACGCAGCAATGATTAGTTAAACGTCTGACCATTTTGACATTGATAAAGATTGGATTCACACCTACTTTTTTCAGGACTCGGATAGTAAGAATGGTAAAGCCTCGGTATGGATAGTCAAGAAGCTGATGTACAAGTTAGACAGGTCTGAACAGGCGATGTGACCATTTTTCTGCGACTGCAGATGAATTAATCGATATAATTTCGGGGATAATGTTCAGGATCCAGGAGCTTAAAGAGCAGATGCTTCTCGGGAGTCCAAGACCGCGCCGACTGATGGTGCACAAGAAACGGTCGTAAGATTGAGCGTAAGCATGCGGGAAAGAGAGATGATAGTCCCCGAGATTTGACGTTGCTGACCAGCAGAAGTATCAAGGGCAAATGAAACGATTGACTGAAGGATTTTCACCAAATGTAAAACCGAAGTGTGAAACCGAAATGTGGGCGAATCGAGGATGGTGATAAACTGGGTACATAGATGTTGGGTTCAATTGTGTCGCAATGATTACAAAAGTTACCGATGAGTGATTTAATTGAGTAAGTTTAGTGTATGGGTTGTATTAACAAGAAGCCCGGGATACTAATGAGAAGACATATTTGAAATTGCTGAATCTTCGATGGGAATCGAAATCGTCGAGAAATTCGAAAGCTAGTTTCTAGTTCTTCATCAAACTGATGCATAAAATCAATGATCCACTTGAGAAAAAAAAGCCCGAGCCCAACGATCAATGTCGAGAGAGTTTGATGACAACTACCAGAGTTCGAGAAGAAGCGTGTTGAAAACATTGAGGTTTGACAGATGATGAGTAAATCATTTTACTCGGTGGTGCATGGATCCAGCGGGAGCGTGGACCGGTGGGCTTCCTGGTGTGGGCCTTGAAAAAAGTGATATCATTGAACTGATTAGAATGAATTTCGATGATCGGGTGTGATAAATGATAATTGTCGATGATATGTTGAGGATGGCAGAGGTCTTCCCCCAACTGGGTAAAAATAGCTTCACGATTTATTAACAAAAAAGAAAGATGGCTGGATGAGGTGAAGTGAAGTGAGGGACGAGATCAAGGTTCTCTGAGATTCCGGAACTGCTGCTGGAGCCAACGGATGCGGAGATCGTGGCTCCGGAGTCGAAGGAAAACCTGAGCTTTAGTGTCGGATTCAAGGATACTGAGCGCTTTTAACAACTCCATTTCGTTGAGCAGGTGTGCAAATTCTTCCTGTAGTTGATCGACTGCCTGCTCGACTTTGGTAAGTTCTGAAAAGAAGCGAGGGCGAGGTTGGTCTGGTATGTCAGGCAATCGGTCCGTAGGAGTGATGAATTGTGGTCTGTTCCTTGTAGGACTACGGCTACGACTCCTGGCCCGGGAAATCGGGGTTGCGCCTTCAGAAATTACGCTACTATCGTTTTTTGGTATGAATGCATTTTCGAGATTGCGAAGTGCTCCAGGACCGAAGGACTGAGATGGCATGGCAGTAGGCAAACACTCAGTCCTGCTCCCAGAGGGTCCGAAAGGTCCAAAAAGAAGCTCAAGTTGTCTGGATTGTGGGAAAGGATTATTTCGGAATTTTCTGGCTTGAGGGTGAGACTTTCAAGAATGATTACCAATTAACACCATCAAGCTGGATAGATCGATAGAGATCAATATGCTTACTGAGAGATGTTGATTCCAGACGTCATCACAAGCCATGACCTCACAGATGCTATCGTTCCATTCAAACCCGGCTGCAGATCTGAGTGATTTTAGAGTGTCGTAATCCCTTTTGAAGCCCTGGAAATAAACACATGTTGACAAGGTGTGAGTGGAGGGCATGATTCCTTTGTTTTTTCTTTTCTCGATTCAAGCACTCACCTGGTTGTACTTTGACTTGACCTTTTTCTCGTCGAGGTCGACATTCGGGAATAAGTCATTCAATTGTCTTGCAATCGATCGATGAGTATCAGGAACAAAGCCGTTCTCCGAGCGTTTTCCCTCTTGGACGGCCCGGACGTATAGTTCTAGAGCAGTGTTTTCCATCTCAGGGGTCCACATGATTTTGTGTTGTTTTGCCATGAGTGGGCTATTAGACTTTGGCTCGAGCATCGAGGAGGTTGTGAGGATTCTTTGAGATTGGACAGAGTCGGATGATGAGACCATTGCAGGATGCGAAAGACATGGATCGTGAGTATGTTGAGATGGAACAGAGCTGGTCCAGGTTTCGCCAATGTCGGTCATCTTGAACTGCAATTGTCGTCGGTGTCGTCACTTGTTGTTGTTGTTGGTGGTGGTGGTCAACAGGCTCGAGTGGGAGTTGCCGCACCTCGAGCTCGCTGGTGGTCGATTGCCCCCGAGAGTTCGGACGGCCCCGGCCCCCAGACCCCGCACGACTCATTGCTGTGTGCGCAGCTGCATCGATCACCATGGGGCAGGTTTGGCTACTTTGAAGTCAACTTGGCTAGATTTGGACTCGAAAATAAAAAGAACTACATAATATTTACCTAGTTATTTCTGGAAAACTCTTGATAGTAGTGTTTTTGGAGCACCAGACTAGCTTGATTGAGTCTCATGAGTGTTTCATTGGAGCTTATCATCTTCTTAATCATGGATAAAGAATCTTTCATCAGTTCTTTGAAGCATTTGAAACTGATAAGCCTCCACGCCTCACAAATGATGTTCTCTGGGATGGTATGTATGGCTAGTACATATGTGATGGGTGGGTAATCTTTGAAAAGTAACAGAAATTTTGGGATAAGATGATTTGAAAATTATAATATCCAGTGGCAGGAATCAAGCCTGCTGCCTGGGGTTAATCCTAAGACTTTTGATTTAGGCTTCTATGTTGAAGTTAATTGCCCGAGGGACACTGATTGTACAAATTTAGTTAGCCTTCATGTGTGAGGCGTGGATGAGCTTTAACCGGCCTCCACATGTGTTTGGATTTTCACATTTCACAAACGCAGGAAAACACACAGGGCTTCTCGGCCATAGATGAGGTCTCAAGACTTTGACTTTGGGAAACAGTTGATTGCGTCTACGTGTGCCAGTCACAATACGCACACAGTTGAGAAAACAGTCATTTTCAGAAGAAGTTGTACAATCTGACCAAAGTTCTATTCTATACTAACTGGAGGAAAAATTAGCCTTGTTGAGTATGAAAACAGGGATAGCTTGATAATATATCACAGATAGGAACATGAACATGTCCACGAGAAGCGAAATTTAGTGCCAATACAATCATCATCATCTCCCTTATTTTTTATATGAGAATCAAAAACTCTCTCGAGGACTTTCAAGATTCAGATAAATAGAAATAGCGAGTTCTAACTAGAGGAGCTCTGAATTCTAAAACCGGATCATTCGTGAAAGAATGAGTGATTAGGAAGTTGACTCTCTGTAGCCGACCACAGGCTACCAGTTGAGTCATAGGTGCAATAGGCTTGAGGAAGGTCCAACTCGGTACGCTGGTGGGTCGTCATGTTTGCTAAGCTTCTTCCATTGGTGGTACAATCTCGTGTTCTGGGAAGATCAAAGTTGTCCACTTTTTCCTGGCGGACCGGTATGTTCGGTAGTTGTTTAGGTATTTCAACTTCATAACCCAACGTCCAGGTGGTAAGAGATTTGATCGGGCCGGCATAGTGTGATCTCCCGTATACGAACCAGAAGAAGACAGAAATTAGGATTGTGGCGACTAGGCAAAATGGTGCATATGGGAAGGTTTCTGAGACGGCACGAAAATGTCAGCATTCATTGTCCGTAAAGCTTTCTTGCAAAAAAAACTAGATCAATTATTTACTGGTATCGATGGGGTATCCGGTTGGCCCGGATAAGGTCACTAGTAGTAAAGTTAAAAAGATAATCGAGATCCATGTCATCGATTTACTGTAACGTCCCAACGTCCATATGTTACTACCGTCCCGATCATACACATCCTTCGGTGAGATGACACGTATGAGCAATGGCGTCAAGTAGCATATCTGTAGTGGCATACATCGTTAGTCACAATAATCGATCGAAAATTTGAGGTTGATTGTTGGGAGCTAACCAGGAGCATCATAGTACACGATGGGCCAAAAATTCTAAGCGACGCACTGGTTGGATCAAAGGAGACTAAGCTGAAAAGCATGCTTAATCCAATCATCAGGAAGGTCGCTCGCAAAGGTCGCCGGTCAGAAGTTACTTTTCTCCACATCTTGCCCATGGGTATGGCCTTGTCACGCGCCAGCGCCCAGAAGAAACGACTAGTGGCGAAAAACTGAGATACGTTGGCAAGAAGAGAGGTTAATACTATCGAGATCGTAACAAACTGAGCCACCGGCTTGGGACAGTGCGCGAAGACGGCATCGATGATTCCAAGTCCAGTCGCTTTGTGAGGCATGGGAGTGATGGCCTGTTGACTGGAAATGTAAGAACCTTGTGTTGCAAGCTGAATCAAACGTTTTATTCCACGTACCATTCCAATACAAGTGCAGCACAGGACTTGCATCAACCCAGTAAAGATAGCGCTGTATAACATAGCTTTTGGGGCAGTTTTTGCTGCGTCTTTCGTTTCTTCTGTCAGGTGTGCAACACTCTCGGAGCCAGCAACAAATGTCACCCCGCTCCAACCGTGAAGCAGATTCCATCCTTCGCTTGGGGAGTTATATTTGCTTTTGGTTGTAGTGAAAAGACTGGCGAAACTCCTCTGCTTCTTGGAAGTAAGTAGTAGAGCGATGCACACCGAGATCTGAGCGATGACGGTGAAGAGTCCACCGATCTTCCAAAATAGGGGTGAACGCGAAAAAGCGGCGCATGATACTAAACCCGTGATGCCTATAAAACATAGCACAACCAAAGACTGTACGTTGTGAGTGACGTTCCAATCCACACCCGATGCTGTAACGACTGTAGTGAAGACTCTCGCTGTGAAATACGGAGAGGAACGATAACGTTAGTTACCCCGGTCAGTCCATTTAATGGATTAGATGAAACTTCCACCGCACTCACTAAACTGGTATCCGATATCAAATTGAAGCATCAAATGTACCGTAGAGAGCAAAAATCCAACAACCCAACTAATGATTCTGGCCCAATCACGCAGATGAGGGTGGGACCTAGCCAGCTTGAAGGTCCCTAAAGAATCATGAAAAGGTAAGCTCCGTCGAATAACACAGTTTGCGCTCTGGAAATCGAGTTCCAAACATCGCTTACAAGAAAACATGGCACCAGAAATGGGGAAGGCTGATGCCATCTCTCCAAAAACCGCATTGAGACAAACCATTAAGGTCGCAGTCACCAACATCCCAACAGTGTACATTATCGGCCCAGAGAACGCATATGACAACGAAACAGATCCAAATGCTCCTTGTAGGACGGTGACGTTACAAAAAGCCAATGAAGATAGGGACCAGAAATCCCAAGTGCGGTGTAGCTCCTGTCTGTAACCTAAAAACTCCAGCCTTGCTTGGGTGCTTGGGTCATGGTGAACTTGAGATTGGCTTCCTTGCGATGAGTGATTTTTTTTGGAGCGGTTAAGATAGTGAGCCCAAGGAGTGCGCCATTTGCTTGTTGGGATTGATGTAGAAGAGACCTGGGTGGTCATCAAAGTGGGTCGCTCATTTGGGTATACAGGTGTTAGTTCATGTTGTGAATGCTTTGAATCTCGAGCGCCTTCAACAGCAACCAAAGTTAGGGACAGTTCAACATAAGATAGACGACATCCTTTCCCCCTTTCACGTTGGGAGAGAAAAAAGGACAGAAGAAAAGTCCTTACAGCGGGAGAAAGACGTTTTTGTGTTTTCCTGGTCATTTTCGACCGCGGTCCGTGAAGACAAGCCAGAGATTGCCGTTGTTCCCGACATTGTGCAATCATTACCGCGCTGATCAAGATGGCCGCCAGGGTGAGGGGTGGGGGTGGAGGCTGCATCGCTTCTCGAGTAAGAACTGGAAGAGCCGCCGGTCGAGACGCGATTACTAGGAATGTGAGGAAACATTATACAATTGATGGTGTTTGGGACGAGACAAGGAAAATACGAATGAGAAAGACGAGCGCTTGGATCGAGATCAGGCAAAGGGTGCTGATTCACTCGCTGTTTATGTGGCATGCAGGATTTTCCTGGAGGCGTTCGTTGCCTTGCAAAGTGGAAAAAATCATGCCGCCGCAGTAGAACTTTGTGGCTACCAGCCTACGATGCCACATTCCGCCAGAGCTCATGTATGCAACAGGAAGCTGATTAACTCGAAAAACAGATTCTATACTGTACTGTACTGTGGCGCATGTCCTCACGATTGTAGTGACTTGTTGCGTTGCTTGCACCATTCAATGTCCGAGCTGAAAGGCCCAGTGGCTGAAAGCGCATGTACGAACTCGTGCGACCTCCCATAACAATTGGAAGGGTTTGATTAAGGGCTGGACCGGCGGCTCCGCCGCCAGTAATTACAACGAAGACAGCTGACTGCTTGGGTTACCGGTGGCCGAACATCGACCACAGCGTATGGTATATCTCTCTCCACACCCTCCAGTCATCGAGGCAATTCAAGTTAACACAGTTCATGAGACTCACATTGGAAGTGCTGATAGCTTAGCCTATTGGATTCAAGAATGGGGTTTACCGGTTGGTGCCAATGTAACCTGTACTTTTTGCCTGCAGCCCCGGGCACTGCTCACTGCTGGGGAGTTGTACGCAGCGGAATTGACCGGCAAACCCCATTCTTGAATCCAACAGGCTTCAAGTGCAGTTCCGGGAGGATTTAATGCTGTAACTGCTCGAGAGATGTTGGAAACGAGGACTACGAACAACCCGACATCCGGCCTATTCAGCATCCATCAGTGCACTTCTTTCACAGCAAAGTTGATGCCAGTGATTGGCTGGCCCTTTATATCGATGAATGTTGCGCAACCGTGATGTAAATATATGTACACCCCGGACGCAAGGCCCGAATAAGCCATGAGATGGGGTGCATACACATACAAATACATTCTCTTCCGATAACGACGTCCTTGTTGTGACCTAGGTCACATGGCGTGACTCGGCTGCGGCTCAGCCAGCCGGAGGAGACTACATCCGTCTCCTCCGGGCCACACCTACCGGCAATACATACGGTTTTACCCCTCTGAGTCACTACAGTCCTGTCCTTCGAGGTCTTGCATTATTAGACGCCCAGACATGTACACCGGTTGGCAGGACGCCGATGTACGACGATTAGGGCGGGTCTGGATATGTACAACAAATACTTGCAAAAGTAAGCCTGTAACCCGGGGTTCGGGACGGCGCATAAGGCTTATCCCAAACCCCAGACCTGCAGGTGCCCCGGGGCACCCTGAAGCCCCAGGTCATACCTTGGCACTGAATTTCAGGTTTCAGCAGTTGTTCCTGCTCTGTTCTCCTTCTTTAATCATCCTCCCAACAAAAATGCCAGACATCATGAAGGGATCCTTTCTTGATGGCCAATCCACAAAGCAGTCAACCTCTCTGCTCCATGACTGGTATTGTACCGGTCATCAAGGAGGAGGCACTTGTTTGATGTTGATGGTCAGTACTATTGCAGACCACCAGAGGGATATGAACCCCTACCACTTTCAAGAAGGGAATTTTCCTTTCTTGATGGTTGGTGATCTGTATAACAGGCATTGAGACAGGAATCTCCTGAACTCAACAATTGGTTTTGTACCAGCCATTGAGAGGAAATTGTGGGCATCCTTCTCAAAGGCTGGTTCAAAAAACTGTGATTGAGCATGTAGGAGGTTGATGAAGGTTGATGACCTGGAGTCATTGATCAGACCAGAGTTTGAAATTGGCCAAGCAGAAATCGGCTATGGGCTAAGGATTAGATCCGGGTGGTTGGGTTGGGTAATGGCTGACCAGCATATCAAAACCTGCACTACAAAATGTGTTGAATCACATTTCCAGAATATGTGGTAACATTGCATGCCACATGCAATGTCACCTTGCATTTGCAAAATGTGATTGAATTTGTAGTGCCAAAAATTCAATGACATTTTGCAAATGTGAAGTGAGATCACATGTGACATGCAATATTGTTACCATACATTCTGAAAATATGGTCTAATACTTTTTGCAGTGCTAGCATTGTATGTGCCAGGTTTTTTAATTCAAATCAAAATGTATCACAGGGAATGGGAGTAAAGATGGCCTCGGGTACCTGTTGGCGGGTACCCGGCACCCGTTGACGGGTACATGCTAGTGACTGACAGGTACCCGCCGGCGGGTGCCAGGTAGCGCTGGATCCCGTTCCCGAGATCTCAGGGTATACCCGAAGGGTACACCGCCGGGATCGGGATCCGGGACATCTCCCCAGGAGCCCGAGCACCGACGGGTATCCTAGGGAACGGTCGCCGGGCCGGCTCACAGATCCCGGCGGGTATTCCGGGTATGTTGGGGGAGGACAGAATGGTGATAGATGGTGATATAAGGCTCAAGGGACCGAATGGGACACATCAGGGATAGGTTTCATTGCAATGTAATTACATGTTATACTTGTAATTAACATAGAGAGTGCAATGACAAAAAAATAGAGAGAAAAAAAACATTATTCAAGGTCAATTGTTGTTGTCCTCGGAGTCAACATGATCAATGTCGTCATCGGTGTTTTCAGTGTCGTCAGTGTCTTCATTATCCTGTTAGTGATAGTCGAGGTATCCATCATCTCCTCAAATTTCTGGTACCATTCTTTGACACAAAGAAGGTGCTCGATTGAGGAGCAGTTGAGGCTGTGTTGCTGCGAGCCAATGATTGTTTTTGATCGGGAGAAGACCCGTTCCGAGGGTGCGCTTGTGGCTGGGATGCCGAGGAAACAACTTGCCATCAGGGACAAGGAAGGGTAGACCTTCTTGTTTCGCGACCAGTATGCAAGGATGTTGCAGCTTGCTTGTTCGTTTACTTCAGCGATATACTGATTGATTTCAGCGGTCAAGTCATTTGGGACCGACACCTCTCCAAAGATGTCCTCCTCGATTGAATTAAGTTTTTGGGCCCGGTTCTTGCGTTTTGAACTAGATTCTGATGGCTTTGGTTTGTCTTTCTTTTGACTTGCAGCTGGGTTGAGCATTCGGCTAGGACTTTGGTCAAATGACTTAGCCTCGGTCTTGAATATTTTCAACACGTCTTCGGGTGATACTTCAGTGATTTCATGATTGGCAAAAAAATCTCGGTTCATTTCGAAGTAGGCGAGTTTGATTCGAGGATCCAGAATCATAGCACACACCGCAGCTGGTTTTTCTAAAGCTTGAATCAGGTATTTGATGAGTTTCTTGACCATCTCGTTGGCTGCTGGAATCAACTGGGCTGAATCATATTGCAATCGTACACTATGTATCTTTTTTATGAGGGAAATGTATATTGGCAGTCCCATAGAAAGCGTCGGGTATTTAGATCGACATAGTATTTTGGTCACGTCCTGGAGTGGCGCCAAAAATCTCATCATTTGCTTCAATTTTTCCCATTCAACTCCAGATAGTAGGTATTTTGAGACCTCGCCCCTGGAGCCGCAGTAGGTCAAGCACACCGATTTTAGACGGAGGGCACGCTTCAGCATTAAGTATGTCGAATTCCAGCGGGTACAAACATCCAATCGCAAGAGCATCTTTTTGATAGGTTTCTTGCCTTTTGACTGACTGTTTATGAAGTCAATGTCATCTTGAAAGTTTTCGCGGCGCTGGGGTGAGCCTCGTGAGTAAGTTGCTAGTCCGTGAAGGCGAGATATGATAGTCTTGAGGTTGACATCGGCTCCATCTGGCTGATCGACGATTGTATTAAGATCCATCTTACTTAAGGTGACTTCTTCTTTGGAATCCGGTTCGGTATTGGAGCAGCCAAACACCCTGAGGCCATCATGGGCAGCAAGATTGATTACATGAGCCATACAGCCCAGTAACTGTTCCTGAGCAAAAAAAATTCCGCCTAGTCGTTGTTCAACTCTTGTTGCGAGGGTTGAGTTGCTAGATGCGTTGTCGGCTGTGATGCAGATCAACATGTCTGAAATCTGCATGTCATCAAGGTAATCGACAAATATGTCACCAAAGTTCTGACCGGTGTGACGTCCTACAACAATTTTTTTATGTAAGAATCAATCATCAATGCCAAGAACTGATAAAGCAAAAAATAGAGTTGCACTCACCGGTCACAGGGGGCATCCCAACAACAACATCCATCATTTTCCAATCGGAGGTGATGCCGTGTGCGGTGATGGCCATGAAGGCCTTTGAATTTGGTGAGGTCCAAGCATCAACAGTGAAAGATAGATACTTCACTTGACGAAGGAATTCCTGTATACTATTTTTGTGGACCATGTAGAGCATGTCAACCTCTTTTGAGATAGTTTTCTGTCCATAATCCATGTTAAGTGTTGCTGGATTGAGAATTTCCAAGAGGTGTTGGAAGGACTTGTGTTCGGCAATCGAATAGGGCAGGTCGGCCTCGGCGATAAGGTAAGAAATAGCCTGTTTGAGCAAATTGCCAGTAAGAACAGGCTGCATTGAACAGCACATCAGTTACTATGATATAAAACACAAGATAATGATTTGATTTCTTACCCGCTGCTCAACGCGTTGTTGTTTTAACAGATTGGGGAGAAGGAGTTGATTTGTTTTCTCTTGAGCAGGTGGATGAATACCGTGGAGTCGTCTGAGATGTTCAATCATAGCTTTTGTGCTTCCAGTTGGGTCTCGCCGTAAGGATTTATCACATATAGCATCATTTTTTTTATATATACCTGGCAGACAACACTTTTACTTTTGTCATCATTAGTGACACGATTGAAATGGGTCCAAACCCATGAGCCTTTCGAGCTGTTAGCATTTGAATCGGCAGTTTCTGAGTTTGAGTTTTCAACGACTTGAATATCAGTGTCATCCACAATGTTGGCAGCCATATTGGTAAGTTTTTAAGCTTGTTGATCTTTGGGTTGCGGGGTGAGTATGTAATCGTTTTTTTGGTTTGGTTGAGTCTGACTCTGGCTCTGGGGCCAGGCTGCCGGTCGGAGTAGGTTGAAGTCCATCCTCCGGACATAATACGTGGCGGGTATACCCTCGGTTTGGAGGGAATACCCGTGTCCAAAACAGCCCCGCGGGAAAAAAAAATTCCCTTGGCCCGTTCCCAATACCCGAGGGAAGGGCACGGTCGCCTCATTTTGCCTTCCCGGCTGAAGGGTATTCCCTCGGGTCGGGGTGCCGGGCAGCCTCAGGGGTGCCGGGTACCCCGCGGGATCCAGCGCTAGACTGCCAGGTGCAGGTGCGGGTGTCAAGATTCTGGATGTTAAAACAGGCGGGTATCCGGTGCAGGTACCCGCCATATACCTGCCTTATAACAGGTTAGCATTTATGTAGATACATGTATTCATAAACAAGTTTATGCTCTTACACAAATGTGTATACCATATGCCCGTGTGACCGGGGGATATACATATCTCACTCAATTCTCAGCTCTACCGATCAGCCATCGTCTGATCTCCTCACCTCCAAATCAAAGCAATACCACCCCCTTGCCATGGGAAATACTCGAAAGCGTCACAAGGATAGGGCCTCGTCAACAACCTCAATATCCAGTTCACCAGCCCAGTCGAAAGGACCCTCCCACAAGAAACGGAATAATGCAGTTGTTGATACGGATGGTGATTACGAAGTTGAACGAGAGGATACCGATGTTGACCATACAACCTCTGCAAGCGCTCAAAATTTGGAAAAGGATCAGGACCAATTAGATGCAGAGGAGCTTAGTAAGTCCCCTTGACATTGCGTCAGATCATCCTATCTATTGTCTTTTGAATAATGCTTGGACAAACGGAAGTTTTCCAAGCACCAAAGTTATGGTGTTATGGTGCTGTTCAGCAGTTTAAGCTGCTGATTTTTGCCACACAGCTCTGGTTTGATCCACCCTGCTGTGATCAAGCAGAAATAGGCATCCTAGCTGACCATCACCCCTACCACCACCACCACCAATCCTCCCGATTATCCTCGCACCGATCCCAACCAAAACATCAATACAAGGGGGTATCCAATTGAATTTGTGTGATCCAAACGGCACTTCAAGGACCCCTGGTTTAGGCCAAGCAATGGTTAGTGTCTGATTTCTCCGTAGTTGTTTTGCCATATGAGGAGACCTAATGTGACATCTTGCTTGCAATTGAACTCGGCTTTGCAGCATTTAAACAGTGACTGCAGGCTTCACAAGTCCTGACTCAGGCCGATAACCCAGAAATTGAATTGGCGATTCGACAAACGATCACACATGTTATGATGGTCGATCTTTGCTCCGACACTGTGAGTTCTGTGTTGCATCAAACTAAACATTTTAAATGGCATTTTCATCTTTGTTTCCCCACCACAGGTTCACATTGAGATCCATATAAAATCTTGCTTTTAGGGCACAACTAACTTCCCTGGATTGACTGTTTTGCATTATCACCTCAGTAATCTATCACAAAAACCTCAAATAACCATCGTTCAACTTATCGGTGTGATCTTTGACTCAAAGTTTCAGTTTATCTCTCTTGCTTTTCATGGTTTGAATGTTGTTGCTTATCTGATCCTTGAACGAACAAAAAAAATTAGTGTAACCAGGAAATCAGAGTGTCTGTCTTTATCTAAAAATCTTGTAACAAAAAAGACTTTGAATTCACTCCCATTTGACCGCTGAAGACCATTCAATTATCACTCCTGAGGCTTTTGAAGCTTTAATCCAGGAGCTTAGTGAATGAAGTGACAAGTTGTGAGCTGTAGATAAGGATCCACTCTAATATCTGGATGGGTTTCCTTCACCAACTTATTCAATCCGACTCTAGTCTTGAGATCGGTCACTTTTGACAAGGCTTGCATTGCATCGATGACAACTCAAAGACTGCTCGTACACATCTCATCAATTCAATTGGATATTGAATGTAAGATCTGATTTATACCAATCTTCAAGATCACAACAAAATCACACATAAATAGGATGACAACGATGATAGAAAACAGGTCAGGATCAATATTACTGAATTGGGCAAGAAGCATGATAGGAAACAGGTTAAGATCAACAGCATCAAAGTGCGCAAGTTGAAGTGAATATATGTGCCTGCGTATAGAGGGAACAAGGCAAAATTGATAAGAACCCACATGTTTCCCAAGTAGTGTTGAGATTATGCAGTACTCACCGGGAATTCGGATGACAGTGGACTGGTTCAGTGGATCCTCCGGAATTTGCTAGCAATAAGATAATCGGACGATGTTTTGTTGCTTCCAAGAATCTTTTATTCCGACTGTGTTATTGATCCAATTGTTGAGCCGCTGATGCTATCGTCTGTTGGTCGTTTTTAGCGGTTTGGGGGTGGGGGGGAGGTGGATTGGAGGCAGCTGGCCACCTGGATGGTGAATCCGAATTGATGGAGGTTGCTGTGGCAAAGGTGATTGTCTATGACGACATCATGGCTTTAAGAGGGAAAAGAATAAAATAAAAATCCAAACTTAAATTGATGAAAATCCAGGATTTTCGAGTGCAGATCCTGCAAATCCGTCCAAGCATTCTTCAAAACACAATACTTCAAAATACTCATTTTTACTTTTCATTTACCAGAAAAAGCAATGAAGGTACATAAAAACCAACAGAGTGCATGCTATGCCTCTTACAACCCCCCTCAACTCTCGGATCAGCTGGACAAAAACGGGTGAAGGATGATAGCATATCCGTGTAAAACGTGAGGACTTCACTTTTTCTTCTTGTTTTGTTGTTGTGTACCTATAGATTGACCCATCTATTACAGTTTTTTTAGCTGTGGAAGCAAAATACACCGACCAATTTACGACACATCACCAAGCAATCTCTCTAAGCACGTTGCTAGCTGCCTCAAGAGAGAACGAGAATCACAACACAATCTCAAACTTGCTGCCCTGGGGGTAACAGGCACAGGCGATATTGAACCACGAGAGGTACCACAGCTTTGTGCAATTTGGTGTGCACAAGCTGCACGGCCGTTTTCTGCTCTTGGAGAACAAGCACATCGAGGAATCATGCACCCGATTGTTGTCAAGAATCTACCCCCACAAAAGGCGGTCTCAAATGACATTGCTTGATTATACACTGCGGTGCAGGAGTTGCTCATCGAATCCTTTAAAGTAAGTTATCCATTGCCTCATTTTTTTGATTGAAAGTTATTCATTATCTTTTTGTATTAGAATCATAGAGGTTTGATGTACCTCGGGCTTGATGCTTGGCAGTCACCAAATGGGTTCAATATCTTAGGAACAGTCGGTTATCGATTGATTGGAGAAGACAATGGTGGCTTTGAGTTGGAGGCTATGCCTCTTGACTTTGTACGACTAAAGCAGAGTCATACAGGTTTGTATCTGGATGAAACGGTCCAGCTCATTGTTGAAAAGTTTGGCTTGAAGGAGAAAGTAAGCTATAATGTCTGCTTCCTCACTTCACATATCCGCTGATTGATTATACTATCTCTTGTAGATTTGTGGTATTGTCACCGACAATGCTTCAAACAACAAGACAATGATTGAGGCAATCAAATCTTACCGATGGCCTCGTTTCAAAGGGAAAACTCAATGGATTCGTTGCTTCGCTCAGATACTCAACTTAATTGTGCAGGTCATCTTGCAACCCTTTGGAAGCTACAAGAAAAAGAGAAATACCACTGCCAATCTTGAGCCAAACTCGCTCTCTGATGACAATGACTTGGACAAAGAACCGGATGATCTAGACAACCAGATCTGATTGTAATTTTTTTCAGTCTGTGTTCCCTCATAAGCTTGAGAACTAACTGATTGCTGCATAATTCTAATTGTCAAACAGTATTGATAAGGAAACTGGGGATTCTGGAGACGATGAGGATGACAAAGATAGCAACTTATCCAAGAAGGACGCGGAGCTGGTAGGCAGGCTCATCAACAATGATGAGATTGAACTCAAGGATGAAGATGTTAATGAGATGAGTGATGAGGATGAGGATGATCGATACACATCCAAATCTTGCAAGGAGAGCCTATCAAAGGTAAGAGCTCACCTCCCCCTGCTGTTACTTTTGACTATAAACATTGCTGATTTTGATACAACTCCGATTCAGTTCCGAGCCATTTCTAGAAAACTAAATAAGTCACCCAATTCCAAGGCTCTCTTTGTAGAGCTCTGTCAGGATCTGGAATGTGCAAGCCGCACTCAATTGGATGTGATGTCCGAACTAGGTGGAATTCAACTCTAGCGCAATCGTGCAGTATTGTGCAATGCTCCGATGCAATTTCAGTCAATTTTTTTCTCCTTTAAAGCAAATTAACTGGCACTGATGCAATGAAGTTGACTTTAAAGCCTTGAGTGGCAGAGAGATAAACGACATGGCCCCTCTCGAGAATACCACATCAACAGCAACAATATTGACCTTGCACGTGACCTGATTGAGGTCCTTCAACCCTTCTACAACATTACTCTCCAAGTCTCGACTCGCGGGGGAGCTCAGATTTCAGATGTTGTTGTCTTCATTGATCAGATTACAAGTCATCTGTCAACTGCTATCTCCAAGAAGAAAGATGATTTCCCACCGGCTTTGAGGAATGCTTGTCGTGCTGGCCTGCAGCTCACAAACAAGTATTACACTTTGACTGACTGCTCACCCTTGTACCGAGTTGCAATGGGTTAGTTTTTCATCTATAAATTTTATTGAATTAATATTTCTTACTGACTCGAATCAATCAGTTCTTCACCCTTCATTCAAGGATGAATATTTTAAGCTTGCTAATTGGAATCCTGAATGGATTGAAGAAGCAATCAGGCTGACCCGCGAGATGTGGGAAACCCAGTATAAGCCTCCTCCTCCTCAGCCAAGTAACTCACAACCAACTGCTCCTCGTCAACAAACGGTATGTAGATTTGTTTTTTACCTCTTTTTTTCTGATTTGAGCTAAATTTTTATGTTTTGCAGAAGACTCAGACTGGAGTTCTTGCAGGGTTTATCAGTGCGTGTGAAGCACGTGGAGGTAGTGCCCCTGCAGATCCTCTAACCATGTGGCTTGCTGGAGGTTTAATTTTAAGTGACGATGGGCGGCCCGTCGACCCCCTCAAATGGTGGACACAACAACGGCGTGCGGGCAACCCTCATGGGGGTCTTCTCCAGATGGCACTTGATGTCCTTAGCTGTCCAGGTAAGTTTGCAGCCTACGGTCGTTTTTTGTCACCAGACTAACCCTAAATTTTTCATTTTTCATACCTTCAACAGCAACAACTGTTGACGTTGAGCGATCATTCAGCTTTGGAAGGGACTACATTTTTCTCCAAAGGCAGAGGCTTAGTTTGTCTTCCATAACCAAAGGGATGGCGGTTGCATTTTACTCGAAGAATGGAAAAATAAAACACGGAATGTTACATAATTGGAAGTTGAATAAGAAAAATGAGGCAAAGAAAAAGGGTAAGGCTGCAAGAGCTGGGAAAAGATGAGTGAAATTAGTGATTTGAAATGAAAAATAGTGTCAATTATTAAATGAATAAGAAAATTGGATAGCTATTATATTTACATTATGACACACCCGCGGGTACCTGCCACAGGTACCCAGGTACCCGCGTGACAATAGCTATGCGGGTGCAGGTGCGGGTGTGGGTGCCCCTAATGTGAGGTTTTTCTTGAGGGTACCCGGGTATGGGTGGCCATCTTTACTGCCCATTGGCCCTGTTCCTGCTGATATCAACCTGAATTTCACTCAACCATCCAACACCTGCTCCCCAGCACTCTCCCAACACCCCTCACTCACCTTTCTGAGCGCTTCAAGAACAGTCCCCCTCTCCTGAAGACCTCCTTGGCTTAGAGATAAGTACCAGTAAGTATCATCTCTTTATTTCTTCAGTAGTAGACTTTTTCTGGGTTTACTCCTTTATTACAAAAGACCAGAACTTCAGTACCACCCCTGCAACTCAGGACCTGAAATAGAGGGCACAGTAAAAAACCCCTGTAACTCAGGCCCCTCTGTAAATAAAAACTTAACAGTTTTTATTTACTATTCTTGTTGAGTTTTCCTCTTTTCTGGTCTAATCTTCCCCAAATCACTCCCTCCTTTCCATTTATTTCCCTCTTTCTTCTTTCTTGAGTCTTCTTGATCTAGACTGGAATATAGTCAACCCCAGCTAGTTTTATGTTGAAATCTTATGCACTTTGTAGTCTAATTAGAACTCTCTTCTGCAATTTTATCAACAACTCTAGACATTGTGATTGACTTCTTTCTTTTGCTAGTGTTGAATTTTTGAGCTCTTGACCGGTTGAAGTTGGGATTTTTGAGAAGAGGGCACAAAAAAGGTTGAGGATCTTTCTTGGGAATGGTTCGCGGAAAAAGAATGAAAGAACCAATGGGTTTTATTTCTTGTAGCTAGCCTGTTTTAAATAGACTAAATACAAAAGGTTGAACATGTGGTTGAGAGAGATTGAATAAAAGATGATTTTGAATAAAAACTGAGAGAAGGAAAAATATGAGTTCATGGAAGAAATAACCGGACAAGTCTTCTCAGTCTCTTTTAGACAAGCTAGTAAAATTAATTATGACAAAACATACTCTCCATCACAAATGTTTAGAGTCGTTAATTCTAGACAATCAGATTTTAATGAATCAAATAATGAACTAGAAAAAGAAAGAAATCAATCAATAAGACTAGAGTTGTTAGATGAAAATTGCCATGAGGAGTTCTAATTAGACTACAAGTGAGCATAAGATTCAACACAAAAAACAGCTATGATTGACTATAGTTCAGTCTAGGTCAAGATGATTTAAGAAAGGGAACAGGTGGAAAAAATGGGAAAAAGAGGGAGTGATTTGGGGAAGAGTAGCCAGAGAAGTTGAAAACTCAACAGCTAGTTCACTATTTGATTCTTTAAAAATTGGTTAACAAGAATTAACGCCTCTTGTTATTTGTGATTCAAAACATTTTTTCTTGACTAACTCATCTGACATTACTAAAAGAGAATGAGAAGTTTTGTATAGTTTGTTACTTCCAAGAACTTGTTTTGTCTTCTCTCAGTTTTTATTCAATATTCTTTCTTATTCATTTTCTTTCAAACCACTTTTTGAACACTTGTACTTAGTCTACTTAAGCTAGCCTACTTACAGTTAATAAAAAACTATCAGTTCTTTACACGCCTTTCCGTGAACCTTTCCCAAAAAAGAGTCGTTTCCTTTTTTGGCCCCCATCCTCTTACGCGCCTGAGTCGTAAATTTCAACAATTTTCTTTTATTTACACACACCTCCCCACTTTTGACGTGTCACCCACACGTGTACATATATTATTATACCTTTGCACCTAGTGTAGCTAGAAGAGTTTTAGCTCTTGGAATCACTGAGGCTGACAGTGCTGGTGTCCATTCCCAAGAAGAATCACTCACCATCAAACAGAGCTTGGTAGAGATGGTCGGTCCGCATCCGGATATCCGTTCGGATGCGGATAACCAATGGCGATTTCAGCAAAATTGCACATCCGCATCCGCACCCGCATCCGCTAGCGGGTATCCGTCGGCCGCAGCGGGTATCCGTCGGCCGCAGCGGGTATCCTCGGATACCCGCCCTCTAATGGGCCGGCAACGGACCGGCTGGAAGGGCTTCCTTCCAGCCGGCCTTCTCCCCTTCCGTACCCGGATACCCGCCAGCGATTTGCGGAAAAGGGGCCATCCGCACCCGAATCCGCACCCGCTGGCGGGTATCCGTTGGCACAGGCGGGTATCCGCCAGCGGATAACGGGTATCCGCGACGGATACCCTTCGACCATCTCTAGAGCTTGGTCGACCGACTTGCGGCTGCATTGGCGGCAACCTGACCCCTCAAGGGTGGGATACCAAGGGCTGGCTGGCAACCATCTCGTTGAGTTGAGCCACGTATCGGACCAGTCTGACTCGGCTGGGACCGGGTCTGGCAAAGACTGGGGCAGTTGCAGGGTGGGTCTGGTGAGCGGGTGGTGTGACAGGTGTCTTGCTTGCTCTTGGATTCAGAGGGAACAGAGTCTGACATGATGGAATGAGGATGCAATTGTTGTTGATGTTTGGATCACAGCTGAAAAAATTATACACAAAAAGGATTGGAGGTGAGTGGTTGAGTGCGGGATGAAGCAGAAACCTGACCAACAGAACTGGCTTAAGGATCTTTGGGCAGCCTGAGACCCCGCAGGCACAAATTTGCACGGAAGCGACCATATTCTGCTTTTGGTCAATTGTCCTCCTGCACTGCGGAAGGTCAGCCTTGAGCTGGTCTGGTGGAGATGTGCGTTTGTCGAGGAGGGATGTATGGCGTGAGCCGTAGGTGTGAGGGTTTGGAGAATATCCCTGGGACATACATGGGTTGCCCTGTGGGGTTTGATTGCGGGTGTCGGCAGTTGACCCTGCGGGCAGTCTGGGTGCATCCTTGGGCCATTGATGGTGTGAGAGAGTACACCCATTAGGTGAATCCCACGGGAGGTCATCCCAGTGTTGGCAACAAAACGACCTGGCAAGATGAGGGCAACCAGGGGGCGTCGGACGCCCAGCGGGGACGGCTCTGGGCCGGTGCCGTCCCAGGGGTAACCCGCTTTTTCCCAATTGCACCCGCGGTGTAGACACTCCAAGTTGGATGGGAAGCAGCTAGACTGCGCCGCAGCTTACCCGCCGTGATCAGCGCACCCCCCCGGCTGGTGAAAAAGGAGCCACGAAGTTGTCCGGCAGGTTCCCGAACGTTGCAGACTCGGACCGGCAATCCCAATCCTCAGGTTGCTAAAGCGCGGTGGCTTCGAAAGGGTGTGTGATGTCCCAGCGTGGAGTTTCGACGATGCGGCCTTCGATCGGTGCCAACAGTCCGGTCCTCATCAAGCCGGTCCTAGTCGATGCCTCCGACTCATCGTCCCCTTCATTACTCCTGTCCTTCGACCAATCTCGCTATCTATTTAACTGCCCTGAGAATACCTCTCGTTCGTTTGTCCAGTCCCGAATCCCTCAGAAGAACCTCAACAGCATCTTCCTCTCCAGCTGTCGGTCCTCACACTGTGCTGGCGCCTATGGGATGCTGATGGGTTTGGCTGATGGCAATAAACAGAGCGTCCGTCTGATTGGACCAGAAGGCTTGCGATATATGTTGGCTTGTGGTAGATTATTCACCAGAAGACAAGGCATGTCCGTCCACGTCAACGAATTCAAGCCAACAAGTACCCTTCAACAAGTCTTCCAGGACCATTTGATCCGCGTCTACGCCCTAGGAAATGATAGGAAGGATCAGACTCAGGTCCTCATGAACCGCAAGCGCAGCCCTGACTCTACGGCAATCTCAGATCTATCACACAAGCGCACCAAGCTGGAACCAGGCAACTCCGAGCCACCCACTGGCGTGCAACCGGTCCTTAATTCGCACGATGCACTTCCTGAAGTCATTGATGACATGTTTAGAGCGAGTGGAACGAGTAGGCCGCTGGGCAAAAAGAATACAACACCTGCCTATTCCTACCAAAGGTTACAAGAACCCGATGAGCCACTTAATACGGATCCAGTATCCTACTTGGTCATCGGACCCCGGCTACGAGGGAAATTCTTACCAGAAAAGGCTAAACAGTTGGGCGTCAAGCCCGGTCCGAACTTCGCAAAACTGGTCAATGGGGAGAGTGTTCAGGTCAATGGTGAAACTGTGGTGACTAGTGATATGTGTGTGGAGGGCGGATCAGCTGGTTCGGTATGCAGTCCTGCTCATTCCGATCAAATTCAGAAGCTCTCCTAAGGGGTTAATAAATATTCAACGATCATTAGGCATTTTTTATCTCTAGTATCGGCTCAATGGAACAACTCGGTCGAACAACATTAGTCGATCCAGCGTGTATCTCCAGGGTCAGCGATGGTGCAAACCTCTGCGCGGTCTATCATCTCGTGCACGAAGATGTGGTACTTGATGAGCGGTATATCCAATGGATTTCGAAATTTGCCCCGGAAGTCACGGTTAGTTTGTTCTCCGTAATGACTATCTATCTTTTTCACGTCCCCCAGCTACCTGGCAATCAGTCGGTCATGTTTTTCAAAGTAAACTTTGGAGCGACTCAATCTGACCGACGCAACTTGTCCCAAACCGCGATTCCCCAGCTTGACGCTGGAAGGAATTTGTTTACTGATCATTCCAGCAAATGTGATTTGACGAGCGTTCCTGATTATCAAAACTGGAAGCTGGGGGCTTCTTTCTGCTCTTGGAGACTGACAGATAACTTTCCCCGTTTTTAGCATCATCTATCAACGCCATCTCACAGTCCCGATCTATTCACATTCGAGGCCTCCGCCCTTCTACAACTGAAACTGAACCTCATTGCGCCCAGTTCATTTCCTATACCGCATTATTCTTTGACGCCTGCTCTATCATGCCCTTCTCCTGAACTGAATCTACTGAGCAGATATGAAACATTTTCACTCAACTCGGCAAAATCTACGTCTGATAATAACATGCAAATAGACTACAGCGTTTTTAGCTGCTCGGACAGATCTGAGTTGATGTCAAAATTGGGAGTGAAGCCTGGACTTGCCGATGAATTGAAATACGTAAAATCCGACAACGATCGCTCAGTCGTGCCGACGGGGGAAGCGGAATTTGCTGACGGAATAATCGTGACCACTTTAGGTACTGGCAGTGCAGCACCATCAAAATATCGCAATGGTGTGTATTTCGGGCTTTTGCCCCCTCACGTTTCTTCATAAAGATACTGTTGCTAACCACAACTCTTTTGGGACTGCAATAGTCAGTAGCACACTGCTTCACATACCCGACGGCCATGGGCAAAAGTTCAACTTTGTCCTACTCGATGCAGGCGAAGGTACAATGGGCCAAATCAAGCGAAAATTCGGGCTTGGATGGAAAGATACTCTAAGGAATTTGAAGATGATTTTTATTTCTCATTTGCATGCCGATCATCACTGTGGTTTGGCCTCCCTCTTGGCAGAACGATCACAGGTAAGCACCTCATTGGATTCCAATGCGGCCTACATGACAGAAATGTGCTGACAAAGCATTGTTGATTTTTGATCATCGAAGCTTGATAATTGCGCCCCACTTGCATTACTTTGCCAGTACGGGATATATCTATATTTAAGCGAAAAAGCAGTGATCGAGCCTCTTGGATTGTCAATTGGCCGAGTCCAATGGTTCAATTCCGAACACCTACTTCAATCATCCGACAAAAGATTGGCAACGATAAGGAGGATCCAAGCTCTGATCTCGTCTGGATTTGAGATTGAGACCATACTGGTGAACCATTGGGGCAAATGTTTTGGCGTTTGCATTGAGCAAAAAACGGAAAGATGGAAGATCGTGTAGGTGGGTCTCAATTTCCTCAGTACCTTTGTTGTTTGAGAAATCAATCTCATCTTTTTTCCCCTTCAATGGCATTTAGATTCTCGGGCGACACGAGACCTTGTCAGGCTCTCATCGACGCTGGACAGCATGCGGATGTGCTTATTCATGAGGCCAGTTTAGGACCTGAAGAAACTGAACTTGCAGACACCAAAGGCCACAGTACAATAGACCAGGCGATTCAAGCGGCTCTTAAGTAATATTTTTTCTCCCTTTCTCACTTCCCTCCTCAACACTCAAGTCACTTTATGGGAAAATCCAAAGCATGGGTCGCTAACCATTGATTTGTTTTCTATGCAATAATTGATTACGAAAGGATGAACGCAAAGAATTGTGTGCTGAATCACTTCTCAGGAAGATACCCGAAGATCCCGCCATCGATAAACAAATCGAACGATCAAGAGATGAACATCGTGATTTCGTTTGATTTCATGAGTTGTAAGATCGGTGCGATACGCGAGCTTCAAAAGTGCATTCCAGCTCTGGAGCAGATGGTCGAAGGACTCGATATCGAGGACACTACCGATGCTGGACCTAGCGATCCATCTCCTGGATCAGGGAAAAAAACGAAATCCAAGAAAAAGGCCGGGGATCAAACATGCACCAAGGGTTCACGAGTACGGCAATTGTCGAAAGAAGACGTTGAAAGTTTAGCTAATCAAGTCGTTCCTGAACCTCTCAACATCGACAGCATCGACATGGAGTAAAACTTTCGACTTGTATGAGGGGGTACTGTGGTGAACTTTCTAGGGCAAAGGGATACCACTCACACACATTCCCTGAGCTGGTGATGAGAGGTGTATCGTCACGATTGGTTAACACTTATTGCCACATTTTTTTATCAAATTACAAAAACAAAAACAAAAGCACTTATCACAGTTCTGCCATTTTGAGAACTACTGAGTGAGAGTTCCGATGGACATTTGCCTATGATTGTTCGGATCATTGTACACGAGTGAACGTCTGATGGTCTTATTCGGAGGCATTTCAAAGCATCGCCCGAGTAAAAAGAGGCCTTGCATGCAGACCATTGGAATCCTATTTCAACTTTGATTGCTCCTACATAGCATCTGTTTATCCCCATGAGGACCCCAGTGCATGGAGGAACTCCCAGAAGAATCTACACAGGCCTCTGCATGTAGAGCTCACATCAAGACCTTATATGGCTTCAGATGTTGGTGGATGGAGTCAATTGTTTGAACAAAAACAGCCAATTGATAACAGAAGCTTTCTGGGGATGGTTTGAAGTGTTGTGATATCTGAGGAATTAAAATCTAATTCTGCTCTGGAAAACCTAAAACACCTTTGGGATGTTCAACATCAACCCAATTTTCCTTTTTTACTCTGGATTGTCCCCTGAGTAGACCTTATTTCTGGGGGACTTGGCTAACATGCCCTTTTCTTTCAAGCTCTTTTGCTGGTTAGGCATGTTTGGTATTTGGATCATCAAATAAAATAAGGTGTTGAATATTGATGGTTTGCCTAACTCCAGCATAGCATTGTTGTCAAGATCAATGTTTAGTTCCGTTGACCATGTTCAGCGCTTTTTATCTGATCTTTTTACAACAACTGACAACATCAATCCCCTCTTAATTTCCCTGATAATCCCCATGGAGAAAGTCATAATTTATCCTGAAAATTGGATTTTAGGTTTGGTATGCCTGTTCGAAACCGCTTATTTTTTCAAAAATCCACATGCCTTGCTTCCCTTGATCAAAAACACGCCTCTCAGTGACAGAACTGACCAACTGGTGACTTCAAGGGCACAAATGGATCAAAACTGGTCATTCATTATTGGCTAGTATCTTCTAAGGAGAATAAGTAGTCTTGACATAACAAGTTGTGGGAGCAAACAACAGATGCATAATGAACAAACAAAACATGACCAAAGAAGAAGGGGTGGCATGTGAAGAGGGAAGAGAAGAACATGACCATGATACAGGCTCTGAATATTGAACTTAATTGGACTGATTCACTGAACAATATACTGATGAAAACTACTTTCAACTGAAAATTTGGACTTTCAAGCGTCTAGAACAAGCAAGGAGTTTACATGTGACGGAATCAGCCAAAGAGAACAGTCCAATTTGAAGATAACGGCCTGGGGGAGGTGATGTTTTCATTTTGTCACTTGGCTGCATTTGTTGGTCCACATGCTTTCAGGACTTCCCAAAACCTGCAAGGAGTGGTGTTAGATCTCACTGTATCTGCACCGATGAATGTTTGTGGATCAAAGACTTACTTGTCCAACTTGGCCTTCAACGTCACAACAATAGCTGAACTCGGCAGGTTTACCCTTCAACACCTTTTTGCTGCAGGTATAGCCATCACCCAGTTTGAGAAATTCCTCTGCAAAAAATGAATTTGTACCACAAGTATTGTTGTTTAGGTAGACCAGATATCAGCTCACTGATGGCATAACTTTGCAGATACAAAAACTCCATAAAACTTACTAAACATAGTGAAATCCTTCAGACTTGGATCAGCCTTATGCTCATCAGCAGTGATTGTTCTGGTGCAATAAGCAAATTTCCTGTTTGCAGGAGCACCCGGGTTGGGACACCCGAAGGCATTGGCACCATAGAATTGAGTGTTGATCAATAGCACTGCGAAGACGATGAATAAGTTGAAGCTCTGCATCTTGTGAGATTGGGAAATGTTTAAAAATAGTATTTTATTTTAGAAATTGGCCAGCAAAGTTTTGAAAGTGATTGTTTGTCGGATTTGCAAAGGACGATGGAGGGTGAGGAATCATCAACAGCCTGAGCATCCCCCCTTTTTATGCCTGCAGATTTTGGTCTCGTCAAGGACAGTTTCCTGAGGGCTAAGCGCTGGAAGCAACCGCTTGCTTTGATTAGCAAACAGCCGGGGCAAGTTTTCCTCAGTCGTTTAGTGCGATTATTCCCTTGGGTTCCCTTCATCGAAAGGCCATTTGTCTTAAGGCAGTGCACATTTAAACCACGGTAACATTAGGAACATGATATTCAATTATCACCACCTCCGACACCCTCTTCGGCAATAGCTGGTTCGGCAACAGCTGGTTCAAGTGAAATTGGTAACACAGATTCGCCGGTAACGTCTAGGCTTCCGGCTCGACTTGCATGGAGATCATTATCAAAGTAGGTTATAAGAGAGGGATAGGTAGGGCACGCGGGGCTAACGACCACTCAATCCCATCGGCCGATGAAGTCCCAGATATAATAAAGTTGAAAGGCCAAGGTCACCACTAGTGAGTCGTAACTAATTTCTCGCAACGAGTCTTCGGTACATATCCTTGAGTCGGTGTCGAGACACAGCTCTTCAGCATGAGGAAGCACCGGAAATCCACCTAAGAAAGGATTGCAACTGAAGCGAGGTATGGGACATTGATCTTCTGTAGTCGAGACGTTGTCTCGTGGCTCGGCGCAGACATATGGCACTAAGTGTACAGCGTCTCTAAGGAAATCGCAATATCATGAACCTGCTAAAGCCGCCGGTAGTTGGGCCAGTACACACCCGGACGAATCGGAATAAGTTGGTTCGCCCGCGAGGCGCACCAGCACTACAGGCGACCCCATGCCGCAATACAGTAAATTAGTTGCGCAACCGGCGGGTGCGTGATTGCAGCGGCCTGTACACCCTCTGGGGGCGTTGCCGGCCAAGTGTATGCAACAGTTACGTGTTGGGTGCAAGCTGGGGTCGTAATGACCTGGGTTCGCCCCAGGCCGTCCTGGTGCAACGCACCCAGGCCATACCAGCACCCGAGACGGACTGCGACATGCAATTGTAACCGCCCGGGGTCGCTATACTGACTCGAGACCGGGCTCGCCATCAGTCCGCCGATAGGCGGCACTGGTCGCTCGATCGGTCAACCTTTTTCCTTTCCCAACACCCACCTGGAAAGATGTCTTTTTAGGTGGGTGTTCGAGAAAATAATCGATCTCTTTTTTTTTTTTTTTTTTTTTTTTTGACTTGACTTGGGAAGATTTTTTTCGAAGTCGGATGAATAACTGGCTGGGGGGCGAGTCAGATACCCATGATCCTGCCTCTCCTCCATCGGTGTTCTATCCCATGAGTTTGGCGTGGGCTCCCTTGGGTTTCGGCGGTGTGAGATAATGTCGGGTTCGAGCCCGGCATTGACCAGCTTTTTGGCTCTCCCCAACCTGGCTGTGTGACCTGTCGAGCCATAGGGCCGGTGCGCCATCATGACGCCCGGCGGTCCTCCGACTCCGTGGGCGATAACTGAGACGCACCCATACAGGGTGAGACGACCAAATCGCGGCCCAGCAACACACAACTATGACGGGTTCCGTTTGGACGCCCGGATCGCGCGAGGCGCTTGCAGGGTCACGAGGGCGCCTCGTTAGCTGCACCCGAGGCGGCGGACCCGATCCGGTGTAGACAAATGAGATGGGGGGAAAAGTTGATCAAGTCAGCTCAGACCAGACCCTCAGTGTCCACTGTCACCACAGTCACACCCTAACCTTTTTGAGCTTCCAGGAAATAGTACTGCAGCCTGGAAAAAAAGCGGGTTAAGCCTCAAACAAAGGAGCTGCTGGAACAAAGGCGTGGAAGAGATGGGGGAAGTCAGAAGACCCTTGTCATTTCGTGGCCAGCATGGAAGAGGAGAGGGTGATGCACCCGCGAAGAGACGCTTCGGCGACGTTGCTGGAACCGCCACAGTGTTCTTTGGAAAACTTTCCTGTAGAAGAGGTTCAAGATTAAAATGCAAACTGAGTTCTGCATGCGTGTCTCTGAAATTTCGCCACAGAGAGAGCCTTTGAGAGAATTCTAGATAGAGGGACTTGTAAGATTATGTAAAAACCAAGAGGGAAAAGATCTTGTGTGCATGTCTCACAGCGAAGATAAAGGTGGACACGAGTGAACCGGCTGAATCCCTCCAACACTTCGAGTCTCTTTGGTAGCCACCTAAGCATGACTGAAGATACTAAAATCCTAAAAGAATTATGTAGGGCCGTACGTTGAACCCAAGAAATCGATGTGCCTCAAAGCCCATTGCGAGATGTAAGACTCGACATTGCTGTGGTACCAACTACTCCATAGTCTGTTCTGTTGCCGGGAAGGTCTGTAACTGTTGCTGAACATACATCCATTGATCGAATGGGTGTACGTTGTAGATGCCGCGACGGGTATCACCGGAAATCTGGATCTCACAAAAAGGCTCTTCCTTGGGGTTGAGGCAAGCTTATAATTGACGTCTATAGATATTGGTTGGGACATGGTAGTGAAATTTTATAAATTTGAGATCAAAGGTCCTGAGAGCCTTCTTGTTACAAGTAACGACTCCATACAAAAGATTACAGCACGTCTAATAATTGTTCACTTTTTCATAAATATAATCAAACACTAGATTTATGTACCGAACGTATGACCAACGCCTACTAATAAAACACATCTCTAGCCATCCATTGGTGCTCGATCGATGAATTGAGGGTTGAAGTTATTTAGCGAGAGCATGGGCTGATCATATCAGTCTGATACTTGAAGCTCTTCCATCAGTTTGACAAAGTCTTGCTCCGGTTCATCTTCATCTTCCTCGGGAATTGGCCTCTGGGTACGTTTGGTGGGCTTCGGTTTGGCGGAACGGCTCTTGCCGGTCGGCTTACTGCTCGGCTGCTTTCGACTGGTTACTGGTTTGCGGGAGGAGGTCTGTTTCTTTTTGGCTGGTGCAGGCTTCGATCCACGGGAGCTTGTTGTAGAGCCACGAATGTTGGGGTCCACCTCGTCTTCGGTAACAGAGGTGTTACCATAGTCATTCAAATTAGGATATTGATTATCCCCTTCTGCATAGGGAAACACCAAATCCGCCTCCTCTTCATCATCCGCATCCGAGATTTGTGCCTTAGTATGGTTCTTAGGCATGCGCCTGTAACAGCCTTTGACTAATTCGCCCCAGCGGAAATCGACCGAACAGGCTGGACAGCGCCCACGGTCAGGTAAAACACGAGGAAGCGACGGTTGTGGCTCATCCCCAATTGTCAATGGTGGCAAGGGGTCTATTGTGGAAGCATCCAGCAGATGTTTAGATAGGCACAGCAAATGTGCCGACATAAAACAATCGGGCGATCGACAATTGACATACGAAAGGTGATCCTAAATGTCAAAGTGGAGGCTTCCTGGTCAGATAACTTTTGGAGTTGCAGGGACTTGCAAACCCTCAGGAAGAATTACCTCAACATCAATCGATTGGTCACAAAGGAAACATTTTAAGTCACCATTACATCGCTTTTTGATGAGCTCAATTTTCTCATAATCCTCCAAGACGGCTTCCTCTAGGTGACGTGTTCATGTGCGACATCAGTATGACAGTAGCATGTAGAGGACTGTATAGGTAGCTTTACCATCATGAACTTCAATGGGTTTGCGTTGATCGTCCGGTGAAGATGGTATAGTATGTCGGTCTTTTCTCATTCCATCCACGCCTTCCGGTCGGAACGTCACCTCGATCGGATGCACGCTGACTCCCAAAGTATCGCTAGTCGTAGAGGTCTGCTTGGACACTGATTTAGGGGGTTTGGCTTGCTCGAGCCAGAGTCGGTAAGCAGACTCATCGAAAAATAGAACCTTAAGCGGATATTGTGACCATGGAAGCGTTGTCATCATCTTCCTTAAGACTTTCAGCTTTACTTCTACTCGATTGCCAGTACTCCTCGGAAACATTGGTTTCTTGGTTTGTGTGGCTGTTGGAGCCTTACCCGCAATAGCACCTGTGGAGTCCAGTTCGGTCTGCTTTGAATCTTCCTTGGTTGGTTTTACAGCTTGTAAGTGCCTAGATTTGTACGGGGTGTTCCATGCCCATTCGAACTAAGGGAGTAGAATAGGTCATCAGCGTCTGATCTCCCAGAATACCAGATAGGAAAAAAATAACAAAATCGAAACAAATAAAACCTGAAGTGCGACCAGTTTACTCGGAAATCCATAGCAGATGAGTTCCATCTCCCATGGTCTATAGTACTTTGTGCGAACCGCACCTCCCTTGAGCTCGCCATTGTGCTGTCGGATTCTTCGTGGTGGATTTGGGGTTGATCCAACGTATGTCCTTTCATTTCGCTTTCCCTTGTAGTACGATCGGAGTAGGTAGCAAGCATAGAAGGCCGGATATTGATGAAGCCCAGGATGCAGAGTTGAGGTCGTCGTCCTTTTCTTGGTTCCAGAGGAATTGGGCTGAGTGGAAGACATGTTTCTATGCAGAAACCAGTGAAGCGCGATGCGTTCATGCACAGTCCGAAATTCAGGGGTGGGACACCGACGGGGGGGGGGGGGGGAACCGGGGGACGGGGGACGGGGGACGGGGGGCAGGGGACAGGGGACAGGGGACAGTGGAAAGGGGACCCGGAGGGGAGGGGGTTGTAATTAAATGTGTCCATGGGCAAAAACTTACACACCCCCATCTTTGTGCAAACCAGGGTGAAAATGAACATGCACAATCAGCAGTATAGAAATAGCAAACAAGTACAATCAACTCAAACACACAGCAACTACATAATGGTTTTTTATTTATTTTTCTTCTCAAAAACAAGCTAAACAATTAAGCATGCAAAAAAGCAGTTATTTTCTTCACCCCTGCTTACATTTATTTCTCCTGAGTTTGGAAAACCTGACTAGAATTTCAGCTTTAAAGTGAGCTTAAAATCTGGGCTTGATGACAAAGATGAAGTTAAATTGACTTGTATGAAATCAAGTCATATTCTTGTTTCATCTTAAGAATTGAAATTGATGTGGGCTACAAATTTAGGCTCACTGGCAGCTGGATCCTGAGGTGGCTATAGATCTATCATCTTCCAATCCTTGGGAACAGTTTCAAGAGAAAATTTCCCCACAGAGAAGTGTGTGACAACATAATTCACTTGATTCCAGTGATGCATGAAAGGGGCTTTCCCAGTTTAACCAGAATGTTTGAGATGATATTTTGTGCAGAAAGCATAGCATAATTCTTTTTATAGAAAAGCACAGCAGAATTATACTGGCCCTAGAACAATTTACTGCTTCAAATCCTATTGCTGCAGGCATAGTAATTAGTCGTTCTGAAGTAAATTTGCTCACCTTTAGGTGGCAGGTACCTGCCACAAGTCCACAGAGACATTCTTTAGTCAAGAAGAGTGATTTTTCTGGTGTCATAAGCAGATGTTTGATTTTCAGGAGCATCAGGATTGGGAAACCCTGAACCATTTGCACAATGCAACTGAGTTTTGATCAACAATTTCAATGCCACAGATACAATGAATAAGCTGAAGCTTTACCTCTTGTGGAATTGGGAAGGGTTCAAAAATGTTATTTGATTTTAGAAATTGGCAAGAACAGTTTTGAAAGTGATTGTTTTTCAGATTTGAAAATGACAATAGATTGATCAAGACTGGTGATTCATTATCAACTTTCATGATACAGGATTTGAATATTGAACTTGATTGGACTGATTAACTCAACAACTATGCTAGTGAAAACAACTTTCAACTGAAAATTTGGACTTTCAGGAGTCTAGAACAAGCAAAAAGTTTACATGTGACAGAATCAGCCAAAGAGAACGGTCCAATTTGAAGACAAGGGCCTGGGGAAGGTGATGTTTTCATTTTGTCACTTGGCTGCATTTGTTGGTCCACATGCTTTCAGGACTTCCCAAAACCTGCGAGGAGTGGTGTTAGATCTCACTGTATCTGCACCGATGAACGTTTGTGGATCGAAGACTTACTTGTCCAACTTGGCCTTCAACATCACAACAATAGCTGAACTCGGCAGGTTTACCCTTCAACACCTTTTTGCTGCAGGTATAGCCATCACCCAGTTTGAGAAATTCCTCTGCAAAAAATGAATTTGTACCACAAGTATTGTTGTTTAGGTAGACCAGATATCAGCTCACTGATGGCATAACTTTGCAGATACAAAAACTCCATAAAACTTACTAAACATAGTGAAATCCTTCAGACTTGGATCAGCCTTATGCTCATCAGCAGTGATTGTTCTGGTGCAATAAGCAAATTTCCTGTTTGCAGGAGCACCCGGGTTGGGACACCCGAAGGCATTGGCACCATAGAATTGAGTGTTGATCAATAACACTGCGAAGACGATGAATAAGTTGAAGCTCTGCATCTTGTGAGATTGGGAAATGTTTAAAAATAGTATTTTATTTTAGAAATTGGCCAGCAAAGTTTTGAAAGAGGTTGTTTGTCGGATTTGCAAAGGACGATGGAGGGTGAGGAATCATCAACAGCCTGAGCATCCCCCCTTTTTATACCTGCAGATGTTGGTCTCGTCAAGGACAATTCCTTGAGGGCACAGCGCTGAAAGCAACCGCTCGCTTTGCTTAGTAAACAGCCGGGGCAAGTTTTTCTCAGTCGTCTAGTGCAATTATCTCCTTGGGTTCCCTTCATCGAAAGGTCAGGTCTCAAGGCAGTGCTCATTTGAAATATGGTAACATTAGAAACATGATGTCTAAATATCACTATTTCCGACACCGACTTTGGCAACAGCTGGGTCGGAATCAGCGTGTTCGGCAACAGCGTGTTCGGCAACAGCGTGTTCGGCAACAGCGGGTTCGGCAACAGCGGTTTCGGCAACAGCTGGTTCAAGTGAAACCGGTAACGCGGATTCGCCGGTAACGTCGAAGCTGTCGGTTCGACTTGCATGGTGATCATTATAAACAGCAGGTTGCAGAGGGATCGGTAGGGAACACGGAGCTCGCGACCAATTACTCCCATTGTCCGAGGACGTCCGAGATTTCATAAAGTGGGGAGGTCCATCAGATCTGGATTTTTCTCTTCTTCTCCAAAAAAAAACTGTGGAATTACGGAACGAGACAAGGCCGGATTCGTGATAAATTTCCTCACGCCTTCCTTTTTTTTTGAGTATGTAAAACATAACCTCAATCATCACTTGGACCTCAACTTCAGCATTAAATCAAGCTGAAAATGTGGGCTTCAGGGTGCTCTCAAGGTTCTTGAACCTTCTTGGATTATTGAGTTTGCCTCATACCAAAGGAACAAGGATGAATAGAAATAAACTTCGAATTTGTGAGCTATTCTTCCTTCATCATGAAAACTGATATAGATATTGGCTAAAAACTACAGGCAAACCAAGAGGTGGATCCTGAGTTGGGTATAGGTATTGCTTGGAAATTCCAATCTGTATATTAGCCAGGATAAATTAGCTAACTAAATTTGAATATCCATATAACAGCATAGAATTTGCAAATGAACAGCATGTAGTTTAGTCCAATTCAATAATGTGCGATTTGAAACCACTTTGCCACTTTTAATCTTCCAATTTTTAGCCCAGGTTTGAGAAAACATTTCCTCACAGGAAGGCTTGTGACACAAAGTTATCCCACTGATAAAGGGGGGGGGGGGGGGGTTTCCCAGTTTACCCAGAAAGGTTGAGTATTTTTTTATCTCCCTGGGTGTTCAGAATGATGTTGAACTAATGGACATGTGTTCATTGTGCCTCATACCATTTGTTGCCTAATTTATTAATCTAGTTGACTTGTAATTTCCATGATTTTCATCTGGAATATATTCCTCAAAATTCCTTATTTCCTCATCTTTTCATTTGATCAATCTGATGTTTTGAGGTTCTCTCTTTTGAGAGGTCATGGCTAAGTTCTGTGATGATATTTTGCAAGCACAACCAGCCTACAAATCAATAGTTGTATTAATGAGCAAACATTTTTCAGCTTCCTTCCAGTTTATAAAAATTTCTTGAGTGGAAGTGGAAGGAACTCCCCATTCAAATGGAGCAGTACTTTGAGGGATGCAGAAAGATTTGTTGGGACAAGCAGCTGTGTTAAAAAAGGGAATTGGAAAAGTGATGCCATTCAATTCCAAAGAATCCCAAGGTTTTCCCTTGCGAGTGCTTAGAAGCGCCTCACACTTTAGAATTGAGCTACAGCTCTCTCAGGATCAATAAGGGTAAGAACCAATAAATGCAATTACTTGCGGGGTAGGATCACATTGGCATACCCCCAACTCATTCACAGTCAAACAATTTTTCAATTCAAATATGTTTTGTTCAATAAGGGATGAGGAGATCACCACCTCATTTAAAGGCGCGTATTTGATAGAGTGCTACAAGGTTGTGGTACAAGTGTCTCGAAGAACGGGATGTGAGGGGCTGTACTTCAGCGGACCGAGAGGATGATCTCACAAGAGAAGAAAAAAGAAACAGGCATTTTCTGATAAAGATATGAATGATATAAATCATAGCAACGTGTTGCTAATGATAAAACAGATTATGAGTATGCGGAAGACGTATAACAGGAGTGAGAGATTAGGAGAAAATAACATCAAAAAGGGCAGGAGGGTATGTAGATGGTTTCAGCAAATCGCTGAACACCAATCACCAATCATTAAGTGAAAGAAGAGGAAGACTTGGGGGTTAAAGGGCGAAAGAGAACGAGGGGATGCGACGCAAAAGCGGGGACCATAAGGACGGCGGAGAGGCGAGATTGCGAAGATTGGTGTAGAGCCCGTTCTGATTGTCTGGAGCTGGTAGTATGAAGGTTGGGTGGGCAATCGGGGTGTCTGAGAGGCCCCTGCTGTCCATTAATCCTTCATTCCTATCAGACGAAGCACCCTGTGATACCTCGTGCTGGTAAGAAAATCCCATATTGCAATCACCAGAGTTTCGGCCAACATCACATTGGTTCTGATTGCTAGCAGCTCGAATATCGTTCCTGTGAGCAGTGTCGTCCAGTCGAGGTATGTTGCGCTGAATGAGAACGATTTCAGAGGAAGCGCGATTGTGTCGTGTAGGCTCAGCATAGGGTAGACTTGCACCAAGCCAGTAGCCCAGACTTTTACGATGAGGATTGTAAGAGGACGATGTGGCCATACGTCTGGGGTCTTTGGCTCTTCTGTGGGGAGCGGCAATCGTCCAGACCAAAGCATCGAGGATTTTAGGGCGAGAATGGCGTTTTTCATCAGTTCCCGAGGCCTCAAAGCTCATGTCTTCAGTTGGGCGGTCCGGCGACTCAAAGCGGATCCCGTCCGATGGCGACTCCATTACATTATCACTTGCGAAGCTAGAATCACAGGGTGTCGTGCTACCACCATCAACTTGAGAGAGGATCGCGGACTCGGAATGGATCTCAGGATCACTGGCAAAGCTGCAGTCACTAGGTGTCGTGCTACCGTCCTCGATGACCGTACTGCAACGAGGGTTGGGTTTGACCAACTCTTCTGCTCCAACTAGACTCTCTGTGGCTAATGTGAACAGCGGTTGGGAAGCTTATCAGTATGGGGAGCCGGCACGTAAAGGGTAGATAAAAAAAACTTACGATGGGAGCCATCATCAGACATGTCAGGTTGAGTCTGACAGCCCAGTTCGCTTGGTGAACGTGACCTGTGGTATGAGATCGTCCGCTGGCGGGAAAAAAGAGGACCCTTGAAGGGTGGAGGCGATCGGGTCGGGTTACTGCTTCGCGCCAGCTTGCACGGAAGCAAAAGGGGCTTCGGTGTGTATTGACGGGGGGAATAAGATGGGTGTTGAACATCACTTTCCAGGTCGGACTTTGGGCTGAAAGGTTCCACTTGCGGCACTGTCGGTTTCTCAGTATGAACTTCGACTGGCTTCTGCTTCTCGGTGGTGAAGGTGATCGGTTGGTCAAGCGCATCCTGCGCCCATCCAAACCCTGCTTGGATTCCCATCTTGCGTAAGGCGGCATCGGAGACTGCTTTCCGCATTCCCTCTACGGCAAGTTTCCGACGCGTTTTAGGTGTGAGGTTTGTCTTCTGGTCAGAATCAGGGAATAGACCAGTTGGATTATATGAGCGAGATTGAGGGACTTGAGGGAGTTGCACGGTTCGCAATGGCTGCAAATGAGGCAGGTAAAATGGGGCTATCTCAACATTTGCCACACTCTGGTTGCGAGAAGCGTCAGTGTGCAAAACCTGAGCGAACAAGGGTTGAGGGGCCAGAGGAGATATGACAAAGGATGGCTTGGAAGGGAGTTTCCAGGTCATGGACGGCGTGGAATTGTACTGGAGAGAGGTCATGTTGGACGCGTCAGCCAAAGGTTGAAGATTATGTCTGACCCTGGGAGCTCTGATCTCAGGTCGGTGGTTTTCTTGATCTTTCAATTTGGAAGCTTTCTTGTGGGGGCGCCGACGACTGTGGGGTTGGTACGAATGGACAGGCCGGGGTGGAAGACCGAATAATACCTGGGAAGGTTGGGGATTGGAAGGTCTTGACATTGTCGGTTTCGGAATCTTGTGACAGAAAGGTTGTATCAGCTGCTTGAGGTAGCTTGAGGTAGAGAGATCGTGTGACGACTAGGAAGGTTTGCTATATGCCGATGATCATCAACAATGAGTATGTAGAAGGGAATGTGGATACGTATAAAAGAGTGAATGGGTAATCGAACAAGACGACGATGGGAGATGCCCAAAAAGACAATTGCCAACAGAAGGAGTAGCACAGGAGTGGGATAGAAAATCAGTGGGTAAGTAACAGACAGGGAGGAAAGCTGAGACAGAATCCAATCTTTCGCACACGTCGGATTGTAGGGAGAGTAGAAGAGTGAGGGTTAATGATGAGAAAAGTGGCAGGGATGGGCCAGTGACCACATAAATATGTATTCTTAGTCTTATAAACCATGCGGCAGTCGACGGCAACGTGAACGAAAGCTCGAACACGCAGAGGCACTTCCTCATGAGCTGGAAGTAGGCCAAAACAAAATGGACCTTCGAGTTCAACACTTTACCATCAATCAATGATCAGACGCTGCTTGGATGCAGTGATACCAGATGGTGCCTCCCTCACCAGGCCCACCTGATAGACTCGTTCCTCTTGTGATGGACAAAGAGCAATCGCTCTGCATATTTATTTTGAAGAGTTCCAACGGGGGCCGGGCCGAAGGTCCAATTTTTGCTGTCAGCTGCTGCTGATCTGGTAATTTGAAGCATGCTTGTCGGTCGTTGAAGATAAGGTTGATCGAGCCGTCAGCCGGCTTGTGCTTGCATGTGCGCGACCGTGCATGTCAGAATCTCGAAACTTGGTGGCGCTTGGGAGTCCTTTGAAGTCTATGTAGGCACACGGCGTTCATCATCAAGTGATCACATATTCAAGGAGGTGGGAAAAGGTGGGCAGCAGTTTTTCGTCGATAGTTGTAGCACGCATCGTACACCATTCCCTGAGCTGGGAATCACGCACTCCTTTCAGCATTACAAGCATTACATTTGTTTGTTATAGCCATGGGCACAAATGAGCCCCTCATGTTGTATTGTGACAGATTTACAGCAATGCAAGAGACTTGAAAATGATCCCCATCAGTCCTTATTCTGGCCGGTTCTGTGGAGAGTGTATGTAGACACACCTGATGGCTGCAAAACCTTTTTAGTCACTGCAGTGTGACTGCATGGCTGTTGCAAAACACACTGCTCTCCTAATTCCTGCACCATGTTGAGCGAGTAAGATTAAAAAAGTTTGTGATACCTTTAAGTTTAAGGGTCACTTTCGAATGCTTTGACATCATCTAAATTCTCAAAGCAAATGACATGCCCAATCTTGGCCTTCTAAATCATATGGGGTTTGACTCTTCAGGACAACTGGTCCTAACAGTACAAGCCCCCATACTAAGTGATGCAGACTGATATGTACATTGCTTCTGGGGGAATGCACCTATGTGATTCTAAACTCCCTTTAGGGTAGTCAAAGTTCACACAACATGGCCTTCCCATAAGTTGTAACCCAATAAGGGACACTTTTGGAAGTTTTGCAGAGGCTGGCTTGTGGGTAGCTTGCTTCCTCAGCCTAATAAGTTTATGAGGAAGTGGTATATGGGCTATCAACAATGGGATGCTACGCTTTTTGCCCAAAAAGTGTTAGCATAGCAGTTTTTTTGCCTGCAGGAATCACATAGTGTTAGCAAAAAGTTAGAGGTTTTTTGCTGCACTATGTACCACTAATGGCTGCTACGGGGCCAAAATGCAACCAGAGTGAGTGCAGCATACAGGGTGCTTTTTGGGGGGCCTGCATGTGTAGTGTTAGCATGAACACAGCATAATTCTGCTACACTACACTAAATTCTAGTTCTGCTGCATTACACTACACTAAAACACCAGTTAGCGTAACTGGCCCACCATTGGGACTATGTTATTTGGAATTTAACTACCCCAATTTTGAAATGGCACAGGACTTTTTGGCTATTCATTCATCTCAGCACCATATCACAAGACCTGTATAATTTGGGGTTAGTTGAACAACTGCCAAAGATTAGTCAAGAAATCTCAAATATTGGGGGACATTGAGAAGACTATTAGTGGACCACCTCTGGAACACTCCAAAACTGGAATCTTGGTCCTGGGAGCTGTTGGACTAATTCTGCTTCCAAAAAAAGGGAATCAGTGTCCCAATTTTATAATAATTTTTTCTGTCTTTTTAGGAGTTGTTGAACTAATTCTGCACCCAGGTAATGAGAGTTGAAGTTAATAATGTGGCAATGGGGCAATGTCCATTGCCAAGCAGGTTGATAACCCATCTGCCCAGAGGGGCAAGAGGTCTTCCCTTTCACCAAGCAGGGTCATACCCCTTTCCAAGCAGGTTGTTAACCTGCTTGGCAAAAGGTAACAAAGACCTCTCTCCAAGCAGGGTAATGACCTGCTTGGCAAAAGGCAAAACACGTTTCTGAGCAGTTTATTAAGCTGACCGGCAATGTGTGTTGGTTTTGTTCTTTTGAGGGCAGTTATGGTGAGAACTCCCAAATTCCCTATGAGGAGGGTGAGTTTTAGTTGGATGACTCCCTGATTTTTAAAAGAAAAATGAAATTAGCACAACAAATTTTGCATATGGCTGTCAAATTAGATGAATGACTCCTGACAATCATCTGTCAACAGTAAGGGGATTTGTTGGCTAATTTTTGGGAGTTGATTGGTCTTGGATGTCATTGGGAGAACAGGTACACAGCCCAGGCGGTAATTCAAAAGATAGGGGAGAACGCTTCCAGTGGAAGGTTTTGCGTTGACACTGCAAGTAAGCAGATGTGACTTGGGTCTCCAGTTGAGTCCATTGTGCGTTAATGATCTCTCAACAATTAGTGTAATGTTGCATGAGCTAAGAGAGGGTTCTCGTCTTCCCAATGCGGGTCCTTGTTTGTCCAATGCGGGTCCTGGTAGGTGTTGTCAGGTATTGGGTGGTTAGCTGGATCCACCGTGTTGGATGTACTATTGCGTGCCCCTTTGGTTGGTGTAGCCTGAGGGGTTGGAGCTTCTGGAATGACTCTTAGCCGCTGACCATTGCGGACGTTCCGGTTGAAACAAGCTTCATCCTCAACTTTGCGCTGGGTTGGTGTCCTCCGTACTTGAGGCCGCCTGGGTGGTCCGTTGTTAACCACGGTTACGATCCTGCTGCCAGTTGGGCGGCTGACTTAACTAAGCCTCCCAGGACTGGGGGTGCAGAGCACCCCGATGCGAAGCATCTCCCATTCCCAATGGGAGGCTTATGAGTTATTGTGGCTTTCCTCCTTGGGAGCTTCCAAAAATGTGTGGCTTTTGGACACAAATTCCAAATCAAGTAACATCATGAGATGCACACTCATCATGAGACGACGAGGTGAAGGGCAGTTTGTAGCTGAGCATCTCATGTTCAATGTAGTATCACTTTCTCCCTACCTACACTTGGAGGAGGGTGCTGCCCTTGCCCAGAAGCTGAGGTGGATGGAAGATGGAATTCTGTATTGCAATTGAGTCTGCACAGAATTTTTGGGAATTCACACACATCACTCTGGTTGAACACACAAAAAAGGAAAACTTGAAAGGAGGAAGGGAGGAGTGCGTGAAGGAGGAAAAATAGGTGATTGACACCAAAAAAAAGAGAAAATTAAGGCCTTGAGTTTGATACCACAGGCGTCAAGAACTTGTGGGGAGAAAGCAACAGATAAGTGAGGGGAATTTTTCTCCCACCAAAAATGCAAAAGCTCCCAGGCTAAAAAACAGGTGTAACCTTCAAGTCCCTCCTTCGGAGGTCGCGCTTCGCGCGAGGGCGCTTTGCGCCAGCCCTGTACCAGGGCCCTCTGAAGCAAGGGACTTGTGTTAAGTCAGTTGGGCGGACGCGAGGTGTGCAAACCATGCTAGAAGTGGTGATATTGTCCTCGGCACAGGTGATGATATTGTCCTCGGTGCACAGGTAGGATTGTCATGAAAGAGCTCGATAAGTGGCAGGTTTAGGGCCGGGATGAAGACTGGCTTGAACCTTGACTCCCCGCGGGTCAAACTGTCAGATTCTCCACAAAGGATCTGACTGGCGGATTGGAATCCGTGATAAACGTCTGGACTGACAGCCATATATGTAAATCAGCTGCAATGTAAGGGGTGCAGGTGGGGGATTGCGAGGGGAGTATACCCCCCCTACATAGCCTGAAAAGCGCCTTGACTTGGGCTATGTAGTAGGGGGGATTTAGTTGATTGGGGTGGTCCTCCAAGCCACCAACACCGGTCAACACGTTTTCTTACATATCTCACAAAGACAAAAACGCAGAGTGCGACCCAGTCAAATCTGTGGATGCTATTAAAGGACTGCAATTAATACGGTTAGACATTTTCTGTGTCACAGATGACAATACAGTTGTGAATGTGGAGATGCAAATGGCGCCCAAGACTTATTTTCTCAATGAAATGGCCTACTATTCCTCAAGGCTTATCACCAAGAAGCAAGCTTGGTCAGGAAATCAAGTTCCACCTAATCAGACATAAAGGGAGTGCACTCAGGTCCTGTGGAACTATCAACTACCTCCGGTCTATCTGATTGCTATTTGTGACTCCCCCTTTCATTGCCTTCCAGAATTACCAGCTGAGCTACAGATTGTGTTGTTAGGCTGGGCTGCAACTTTCTTTGATGGAAGCAGATGTCAAGTACATCCTGACGCACCTCTATTGGCTTTTTTACCGTTCGACAATGTTTCAAACTTTTGTCTTGTATTGCTTCCATTGTTCAAGATCACCGTGGACGATTGCAAAGAGCCGTTGGAACAGCTTGTCTGGCTGTGCCAACATCTTGGCTCAAAAAGTAAAGTTCCAGGCTGGGTGGAACATAGCAAATATCTTCAAAATTTCATCAAAACAGTCCGTATCTCCAAGCTTTCATCTTTGGACCATGTTGCCCATCAGAAAGAATCCATTCAATTGAACCAAAGGCGGATGCTCAAAAATACTAGGATCTTGACCATCTATAAAGCCAAGGAGGAGGGCCGACAAGAGCTCCTTGCAACACTCAGAGCTATGGAGCCTGCTGCAAAGGCTGCTTTCTTGGCGACAGAAGCATGAGTCAGTGTGAATTCCTTTTACTTTTAACAATTCTAATGACGGATAGATACTCACATTACACCTTGCAATTATGTAGGCCTCACTGCCAAAGTACATCATTGTCCTTTTGTTGGCCTTGGCTTGCGTGTTTGCATCTTATTTTAATTTCCTTTTTGAATTTCAATGTATGTACATAGTCTCCCGGCCCTTTTTTAGGGCTCTGATTTTTGTATCCCAATTCCAAGAGTTCTCATTCTTGATTGCAAGCCGAGAGTATCTACAAATAAATATGGAGAATGGTGCTCAAGCTCACTCAGCCTTGGTTGCAGAGCTGCCTGTTTTATGTCCGGCAGAACTGCACAGCAGATCAATACCAATCAATCAATCCACAAACAATAATTCAGCTGAAGTGGTCTTCAGAGGAGCCGAGGATGTCCAGTCAAATCTGACCGTCCATCAGGCATAGCACCATCCTATCTCCTTGGTCAGAATGGAGTCCTTGGCGCCAAGAATCCAATTTTAGGACCGTCGGGGAATCTACCTCCTTCCCAACAAGATTCCCACCCCGCACACCAATTCAATCTACCAACAACAACCACTGGGTAGTAACCAAGGCTTGATCCAGACCATTAGTCAGCAACAAGAATTTTTGCAACTTCAACTCATCAGACAACAGCAGCACATCCAAAACTAAGGGCAAGTGCCCTGATCAAAATCATTGTCACAATCACCACACCAATCATAGCATCATTCTGCAGCTGTACTCACTTTCAGTAGGAAACATACAACAGTACAGAAACAACGAAGTCATGAGGGCAAGTTTTTCTTTGAAACATATTCATGTAAGTGCATCAGTGAGGATTTATGATCAACTTCCTTGACAAATTTCATTTGTATCAACGGTGCAACAGATACAATGTGATACGGTATCAGGCGTTTATTTGTATTGTCTTTTGAATACCCAAAAATACCGGATCTGTGTTGTCTCACTTTCCTGAGACAATACACATGTATCGTCTTTGGAAAGTGAGATAAGTATTCAGTATCGCCTCAGATGACTGATCCCACCCAAAACATATTTGATATACAAGATATTTGGCCGTATTGAAGAAAAAACAAAAAAAAACGAAGACAATTTTTTTTTTTCATTTGTAAATCCAAATCTGAGACAATGGATTTTTTTCACCAACCAAAAAAATACTGATACCTGTATCAGGCTCAAAATAAAGATGATACGATCCAATACAAATACTTATACATGTCTTGTATCTGTTGCACCGTTGTTTGTATGTAGGTGGTCATGTCACTAGTCTTGAAGAGGAAGCCCAGTTTCATTTCCATACACAATGGATGTATGGTAATGTAATGTAGCAGCACAAACAGCTGGGCCAATAGAACATGAAGGTGCAAGAGGGGATAAAAAAACACCTTTTTGAAATCTTGATACTCAGCAAAGAAAATTTTGATATCACAACTATCCACTGCAACAATCCTGCTAACCTCATCTTCTCAGAGATAATTCTTCTTCTTCAGTCAAATAATTCCAGCCATGCATATCATATGGATAAATATGGCTATAGGAATATTGAGCTTTCAATTTTTGGGTGAACTTCATAGTGTTGATGGTAGTTTCACAACAAAATCAACAGTCAAAGGAAAGATAGGTATTGATCCATTTTGGTTTTTTGATATTCTTATAATTTGTCTACGGAATCTTTTGTGGGGCTAAAAAAGTGAAAATAGTATTCTCTACTAACACAATACCACGGCTCTGCCTTGCTTTATCAAACATAGGTGCTCATGAGATTACCCAAGAGTGTCAGTTTTTTTTTGAACTTATACTTCTTTCTTGAAGGATTCAATCCATTAAAATCCAATTGAAATATGAGCAGGTAATCACCCACCCAAGGCCCATCAAATTTTCCCAGGAAATGGTTCCAATGAAAATATCACAGGTGGTTGCGAGGGATTTGAGGGGTATAAATCAGAATTTTTTCCCCCTGAAAATAATAAAATTTCTACATCACTTGACAAAAGTATGAAAAACTTCATATAAATATGTGATTATAAAAAACAAATGAATCTTGACACTTGATTATCCTTTTAGCAGATATTGCAAGTTCTAAAAAGGACATAATCAGGAGTTGTGAGGATCTTCTACATCTCAGATTTATTGAATGTTTTGTGTTTAACAAGACTTGGCATTTCTTTCACTTAATTTAGAGCCCTGGAAAAGAGTTTTTGGATGTTACTCCAAGACCATCAATAATTTCACAGCTTGGAGATCTGATTTCACAAAGCTGAAATTGGATGAAGAAAGAAATCAAGAGGTTGAGGTGCACTTGAAAGAGGTCATCAAGTCCATAGAAAATCTATTTGAGAAAAAGCTTCATCAACTGGAAAGTCAAGCCTATCATTCTATGCAGGGATTGAATACAAATGTTGCAGAAAGAATGTTTGAGACAGCAGATCAATATTGGCTTTCATACATTGCTGATTTTTTGAATATTGAGAGAATAACAAGCATCTCAAAAGGAGATGATGAAGAACGTAATGAAAAAATTGAATCTGCAATCATGCGGTGGAGAGAACTCACAATGGATTTCTTCATTGATTCACAAGATCTCAAGATTGTCTCTGAAAAAAGTTTAATTTATTTCCTGAACGAGAAAAACAAGGGAAAATTGATCTCAGACTATATTATCCACCGCTTTGATCCAAAAGGTTACAAGTTCCGTCTTTACAACTTTGACCTCATACTAAGCCTCAAAGAGTCACCATTGGTGCAAAGAATGTCTGGACTATTCAAAAGTAGGTCTTAATTTATGTTGCTAGAGAATGAAAACATATTACTGATCACAATCAATCTGATATAGTTTTGCAGCCACAAGCATGGGAAAACATTGAATTAAACTTGTTGAAGGTTCAGATTGATTTGGATACAAGGATACCACAAGAAATTATACATCAAGATTATCCAGAAGAAATGGAGAAAATCCTGGGAATCTTTCTGGCAATAATGTCACCTGACAAGAGTAACTTACCTGCTATGAGGCCTTTCCTGGATGATCTACTGCTACCTTACATAGCCTCAGACAGCCAATCAGTCCATGAAAATTCACTAGATCACATAACCAAGCATTCAAAATTGTTATATGATGTTTTGAGATTCATTATTCGATATCATTCCGATACCCTACCTGCTGATTTTCTCACAAATATGAAGGGAACAGAAAGATTCAGTAAAATCCGTTTGTTTGAAGAAGAAATTGGTTTATATTATTGTGTGATCCATTCAGAATATGTCAGGTTTCAAGAGATTTTGAACCATATGAATCCAGTTCATAATCAAGATCAAAACTATTCCTATCATAAACATCATTTGGAGCATCATGTCAATTGTCTGATAGATTCCAATGAAAATAGAGAAATTTCAAATTTTGAAATCACCAAAAGCAATAATTGGCTGTCAAATGCTCTGAAACTGAAAGATTTTGAAATATACAAGGTGGATCCTCTTATGACAGAAAGGATATCTGATTTCCTTGAAAATGGATCCAATATTGAAGTTTCTGACCGGAAATTACAAGAACAAATCAAAAGATATCTACATCTGAATGAGGTTTTGGATGTTCATCATTCATATATCAAGATGATAATTTACGTTAGAATTTCACTACGTGAACTTTATTATTTAAATATAATCAAGCGTTGGGGGCACTTATTCCATCTCAAAAAAGTGGATAATATGATTTGAACAGAGCCAGGTTTTTCCACCTTTGTTATGATTTTTAGATATAATCAACAACTTGTTTCATTTACAAAATTAGTTTTCTGTATTTGACTGATTATATAAACTTTTTGAGTGGTTCTCATGTGTCTTATTTTCATTCCTGCTTCAGAACTTCCAAAGCCTGTCATGTAGATCTCACACACTCTGATTTATACCAGCTGAGGAAGTGGTATGTGGAAGGATCCTTTTCTCTCATCATCCCACAGAAATCTCAAACTCATCCTGTCTTGGGTTTTTATGGCGCCGTAAATATACACTCAGGTTTGCTTTTGTTGAAATCAACACTGGGCCAGCTACACTAACGGTAGTGTTAGCCTAGTGTAGTGTAGCGCAAATACACTACATTGTAGCGTAGTGTTAGCACAGATTTCTGTATCTGCGCTAACGCTACGCGTGTGGGCCACAAAAAGGGCCCACTGCGCTGCGCTACAGCGCATTTTAGCGTTTTTTTGGCTGTTTTTGCCGCTAAAAGCGCTGTAGCGCAGCATAGTGACACTAACACTACAGGTTTGGCGCGCTGTTCTGAGGGCCGCTACACTAATGTTAGTGGGCCGTTTAGCATAGTATAGCGTAGCGGACCACCGTTGTTGGAATCATATCCTTTTCTACTTCTTCCTAAAAACCTATTATATTTTTTTTCTTGTTTATAACTCTGAATCATTTGAGGCTCTTCCTTTAGTAGCATGATAGTATCCTCTTAGATCATCCACGTTGGTTGAGCAGATTAGTGAGCTTGCTAATCTGAATGCACTCCCCCTTCCTGCCCGCCCATGCCCCCGCCCCTCCAAAAGGGGCGGTGTGGAACTACTCTTTGGGATGAATAGAGCTTGAGAGGGAATAGTGCTTTAATGGGCTGCCTCTCTGGGAACTAGGATGAGTAAGGTAACAAGAAAAGAACAAGCGTATGGACTCTTGAAGAATAGGTGTGGCTATGGAGATTTCTTGAGTAAGGTATGTCTAATATGTCTTATGTCTACTGGTCAAAATATACTTGTTCACAAATCAAGGTATCCCAAATTTTGATGGGCATATACCTGGCTAATAATGGGTGATCAGTTATCTGGCTTACTGGGGCAGGATCTGATGGGGAACAAATGGACATAAAAAACAAGGCTCCTTATATACAAGATTCTGGGGAGTGGCCAGCTTGTGGGTGGAAGGGGGATGGAACAAAATGGAAAGAGTGAAAAATATCAAACTGAAACAATGTGGCCCAATTGGTAGAGAC